ACAAGTTGTTAGCACGATCTTAAACCCTAGAAAAGTTAACAACCACAAAAATCAGCAAAACAAAGCTAAATCATAATCTCCTAATCGCTTACCGGAGAAAAGAATCGATCACCGGAGACCTGAATCACAATCGCCCTCTCACCCTCCCGTTGATGAATGAATTCTATTTTTTCGAAACTCTGAAACAATGCGGTGAATAAAAAGAGAAACTCTCAAAACCTTTAGAATCAGTATATTTTTATAGAGAAAAAGGGTAGACAGTGAGGCGGTTGAATTTCAACCAAATTACACTTCCAGAGTCCAGATTTCGCTTGAAAAAGTATTTGAAGATTTCCTTTCTATTATTAATTTGAGTTTTTTTTAAGAATACACAACCATTAATTAGTATTAGTATTAATTTACTACAGACAAAACAATAGTCATAAACGGAAAACTATATTAGTAAAAAATAATCATAGATGCTAATTACGTACCATTGATTATGACTCAACTATTTAGTCATAAACGGAAAACTATATTAAAAATAGTCATAAATGGTAATTACGTACAATTGATTATGACTCAACTATTTCAAGATCTCTTGAAACTAATCAATTATCTTACAACAACATATATACTCAAAGACTTTATGATAATGCTACAATTTTGTAATAAGTTACTTAACATAATGAAAAACACGTTCCCCAAGTCCTTATGCTCTCATCTTCACTAATCAATGGTATCTTTTTTGTCTTTATTTTCACCTAAACTTGAAGCACTTATTTGAACCATAATTTTTTATATTTATAGTAGTAAACAATGACTATTTATATGTATTTGATAATTATCACATGAATTTGGTTAATGTTACTCCCTCCGTCCACTTTTATTTGTCATGTTATGTATTTCGAAAGTCAATTTGACTAATTTTCAAAGTTAAATTAGATTACATTAATTCGATATTTTAAACAAAAAATTTAAATATTCAAAAACTATGCGAAAAGTTCTATAAATTTCAAATTTTTGCATATCAATATGATGAAAAAATACATATAGCATACGTAAGATTGGGTTTACTAAAAGTGCAGAGATCAAAAGGGAAGGTAATTAATATTTGGGTATTTAAGTTAATTTTAGTTAGTGCTATTTTTACTCAAATTGAATCCAACCCAATATATTTATCCTGATTGGACCCATAACTCAATATATTTATTCTAATTGGACTCACAATCCAAACTATTTACCTGACTACCTTCTTGTTCTATTCACTAAACCACCACGGATATCATCGGAGTATATGATGGTATCAAGCAGTAATCGAACAATCTTTTCACTGAAACACTACCTCTTCCTCATTGATGTCATCATAGTGTTCGTGTGTATATATATAGACACACACACTTTGATGATATCAAACAGTAAACACGAATTAGTAGTTAAAAACATGAAGGGTGTGAAAGTAAGAGGATAGCCGCTTGTAAATAGTTTGCCTTTTTGGGGTATAAGTGTTCTTTTCCCATTTTTTAAAAATCAATGCAAGTTTCATTTGCAAATTTATTTGGGAAAATAATCATTTTGATCTTCAAGTTATTGTTTTATTGCAGTTTTGGTCCTTATGTTATGTGACTTAATATATTTAACCTTTAATAATTAAAATATGCTATTTTAGCCTCTAAAGTTAACAAATTTGAGAGTTATTAACTCAAGCAACACACTCACACACACACATAATATTTATTAGGTGTCCTTTTACTTTTATTGACACCTAATTGTTATCTTATTTTAGGAGTGAATATCTAATATACTATCAAAATTATTTTTTTGGCGATTGACGAGACCCTAATGTACGTACTTTTCCTATTTTTTGTTTCCGATATATCTTACCTCTTCATTGCGATAATATATTACTTTATTTCATGATGTTAATGTCTAAAAAATTCCATCTGATTCACATTTGATTGTACATTCATCATTAACTCATACTTCACCATCAAAGATTGAAAGAATCTATTTACACACATTTCTATTTAACAAATCACAATATGATATTGCATTCTTTGCCTCTAACTATTCTCTTATGTAGAGTCTATTATATAGATTGTGTTTTTAATAATTTTTTTAAATATTCATTAGCTTTAAGAACTAAAATAACACATTTTAATTAATTAAAGGTGTAACAAACCCAATAACAGGACCACTCAATTCAAATTCAAACAACCAACAAGTCTATTTCACTAAATCGTAATTGAAATTACAAAGGAATTTAAGAACTAAATAGAATTGGAAGAACACAAGTACAAGAAAGGGATGGGAAGAAGAACTCATAGACAGGGGATGAGAGGACTTGGATATTTTCTCAACAATTTGAATAATACTATTTTGCTCTCTCAAGTCTCTATTTATCAACCCGGATCCCACACATAGCCACTTAATCCTGTTTTGGGCTGCTTTGTGAATATTTGTCTAGGCCCATTCATAACAATACCTTCGACCCCAATAAGAACCTTGTCCTCAAGGTTCAAGTAGTACAAAATTGATATCATTGTGAGGATTCTCATTGGAGCTATTAAGGAAGCTATACACACTAACATTAGCAACTTAGAAGCAGGTGTAGGCAGTTCTCTACAACTTTACAAAATGAGCAGTACAGTGCTCCAAATTATCACAGGGAAACTCCAACCTTCAGTTTTTAGAAGATAAAGTGACTCAAGGAACATAATCTTAACATTGTAGATATATGATATAACACTCACTAGCAACTTCGTACGCCCTTTTGGTGCAATATAACACTTTGTGACACCAATGGTGTATCCACATTCTTAGTGGCATTAATTGAAACCACCAATTTGGACAGATTCCAAATGCAGTTCAGGATGTTCATCCCCTGAAGGATTTGTGCACTTCTGTCTCTGTGAATTTGGCCAGCAACATTTAGAATATTATGATATAAAACAACGACTAGTGAATCATCAAAGACGTCACTGGTCATCAACGATTAGTGCATCATCAAAGAAGGTTGATATGATGTGAATATCCTAATGATCTCCTTGAAAACATCCACAACCATGCGTAAATAATAGTTTGCAGCGCCAAAAATACGGGGAGCAAACTAGAACCAGGATCAAATGAAAAGCTGAACTCGAATTGATCAGGTGGAAATCGATACAACGATAATGGGAGGTTAGCATGATCGAATTCCCTGAAGTAATCAAATATAGATCTACCCCTAAGTCGGGTGTGACTAAAAACCGACGGCCAACAAGGTAGTGCAAGAAAATTATCATCAAACATGAGGAGGTCGCCGTACTCTCCCTTAAATGTAGAAACCGTTTGAAAAATTTCGTCAAACATATGGGATGTCAGATTTGCTGAATCATTTATCACTGGATGTTCGATTTCCATGTCAATTTTCTTCTCGGGCATTTTATCGAACATGTGGTCTACCTCAGAATTTCCAGCAAGGACATCGTATTGAATTTCAAGTGAAGTGAAGGTGTTGTCCTGTTCGGCAAGAGGACATACCTGGATCGCTGGTAACACCATAGTTTTAACATTAGTTTCCTTATCCGACATCTCCTTGAACACTGTGTGTGCTAGGCTTTGGTTGTTGCGGTTTGAGTGTTCATTCAAGTTCGCCTAAGAGTAGTCCACTGCCCTATGATTCATGTTTCTGGGAATGGGTAAGAACTCGCGTTGTTTGTCTCTAGGACGGGAGCGAAAATGAATCAACAATTTGTCCACAAAATGGTCCCAGCCAGCCAGTTGTTTGTTGCGAAACAACCATCGATACCATTCCAAAGCCTCACCGTCAAAATAGAATGAAGCCAATGACAATTTATGATCAGATAAAATGTTATGGAAGACGAAATACTTCTCCGCCTGAAGAACCCAGACTGTAGGGTTATCACCACTAAATCGTGGAAGAGAGACTGAATTCGGTACACAAGAACAAGATGGAGTTAAATGGGGCAGAACAGGAGACGACTGGATTAAATCGAACTGTTGGCAGAATGCACGGATAGATTCTTTGAGGGAGGTGAGTGAATTGTCCACCATGTTAGACAAATCAATGAAAGCACTAATGTAACAAACCCAATAACAAGACCACTCAATTCAAATTCAAACAACCAACAAGTCTATTTCACTAAATCGTAATTGAAATTACAAAGGAATTTAAGAACTAAATAGAATTGGAAGAACACAAGTACAAGAAAGGGATGGGAAGAAGAACTCATAGAAAAGGGATGAGAGGACTTGGATATTTTCTCAACAATTTGCATAATACTATTTTGCTCTCTCAAGTCTCTATTTATCAACCTGGATCCCACACATAGCCACTTAATCCTGTTTTGGGCGGCTTTGTGAATATTTGTCTAGGCCCATTCATAACAGAAGGTCAAATATGTTAAGTCATATAACACAAGAACCAAAACTGTAATATAATAATAACTTGAGAGCCAAAATTACTATTTTTTTAATTTATTCGTGCTATAACTTTTAAAAATATATTATAATTATCATAAAATTCACATAATTCAATTATATCTCTTTCGTCGTAAGGATTAAGTATTAACTAATCTTTCTTGTATTATAAGGAAAACAAAATTTCAATAATCTTTAGCTTTTGATTGTTTTAGCTTTACACATAATAGTACATCCACATTAAAATCCTCAATACTACATTATTAAAATATATTCAACTTACACTAATATATTTCACCAAAATGATATTAATTTTTACTTCATAAAAATTGACACGTGGTCACTATATATCAAGTAATAGTAACATAAAAAAAAATATTTATATATAATTAATAATAGTAGCAATTAAATTAAATCGAACCAAAATAGATTACAATGAGTTCCGAGCCCATCTAAAGTTGGACATCTGCATCCAACTTGCCCAAAACGCTGGCGCAGCCCCTGTTTTATTTTTTTGTTGGTATAATTCAGTTAACATACACTCTTTTCTTCTCTCAATTTCTCAATTTGCCCGTCCCCTTATCGAACCTTTTTCATCTTCGGACTTCACGTCCCTCTTTACCGTTTCATCAAACAGTTGGGGGACAAAACAATCCTCTTCTTCTTCCCCCATTTACATAGCTGCTGTGGAAACCCTAGAATTAATCCTGATGGAATTGAGCTTTGTTCCTCTTCTTCAATTGGTTGTTGAATCTGATGCGTGAATTGGTTCGATCTATTGCTTCGAGGTCGGTCGGAATTTTCGATTGGCGGAGTCTACAATGGAAAATCAATTACAATTGGCCTTGACCAGTCCTACGACGCCGTTCTCGAGCTTGTTCGACTCGCAGAAGGAAATCCTCAATAGCCAGATTTATCAGCTCCAAAACATCGTTGTACAACAATGTAACCTCACTGGCGTCAATCCACTCTCTCAAGAGATGGTTCGTTTTCTTAATCTTTGTTTTTTCTGAGGTTTTTTTTTATTCGAGTATTTGTTTCTCTTAAAATTCTGAATTTGCCTCTTGTACTTTGTTGGTAGTGATTGTTTTAGGAAATGTAGGAACTAGCATTGGTTAAGTTGACAGGTCATTATGTTTTATGGTTAACTAGATTCACCTTTTACAGTACAGAAATGGTAATGAATTTATGTTTAAGTAAGTCAGAAGTGTAACATACTATATGTGGTTGTACAGTTGAAGGATTGATAAATAACTGGAGATTAGCAGCGTGTATCCATTTTTTTGAGTTGAGGACTAGCATGTCTTAATAGTTTCTGTTTATCCAGAAGGATAGTAAGAACAATAGCTACCTTTTGGCATAATTTACATTCTATTAATTTAAGATCTCCGGTGTGGTTTGTGTGGCAGAATTTATTTCACAGAAAAGAATTCCTTAACTTTCCAGTTCAATTGCTGGTGGGAACTTATTTCTGCTGGTGGCTCATTCATTTTTCTTCCGTTGTGCAGGCTGCTGGAGCTCTTTCAATAAAAATTGGTATGTCTCCTTGGCCTAAATTAAAATCATGATGCTTGTGTAGTCGAGTAAAAAATTTAGTTGACTCGGATCCCTTCTGAGAATGAAAAGACAGTAGGTCATATTGACATGTTCATTTGTTACTCATATTATTTTTTGCACATTGATTATACTATGTGAAACATGTTGCCTTTGTTGGGTGGTTCTTTCATTTTATTCTGTTTTATTTGCTTTTAACTTGTCATTTTGTTTTTTATTTTATTTGCTTTTTACGTATCATTTTAATTTTTTTTTTTATTTGCTTTAGTAGTAGTTTTTTTTTCGTTGCCAAGTACAACATTGCTTTTATGTACCAGAATTACTTGTCTTGATGTTTAAGGTGAACTTGCTTAACGAGCTAAGTTGCTACTGTCATCTTTTTCTTACAAGGTGATGCTTTGATCCAAATTATATGTAATGCGTCTTTTTAGTTATTAGCGTAAATGATGCTCTTGACTTCTTCAATTTTTGTGCAAGCTACTCTGATTCCATTTGTATTCTGTTAGTTTAACATCATCTGTTGCAGGCAAAAGGCCAAGGGATCTCCTAAACCCCAAGGCAATCAAGTATATGCAATCTATTTTCTCTGTCAAAGATGCAATCAACAAGAAGGAAACGCGTGAAATCAGTGCTCTTTTTGGTGTCACAGTCACACAGGTGTGTGACGTCCCTTTTCCACAGTTTTTAGTAATCCTTTCTCCATTTTACCTGGCTGGAGTTTTGTTTAAAACTTTTCTACATTTGTGAATGTCGATTATTTTAAATGTGATTGGATTCCTTGTCTAGAAATTGGGTTAGGATCATAGATCAATAAGAGCAATGGTTTGACAATTGACTTGTAAATCTCAGTATCTCTCATTGCTTTCATGATCAATGGTTTGACTTGTAAATTTCAGTGTCTCACATTTGTTTCGCTATGATGTGCAATAATCCTATGCTCATGACTCGTGATTGTTCAAAAGATTTATATTTTTCCGTGGAATGTCAGTCTTAAAAACTATGAAAGGAGCTTATGTTGGTGGCATTTGCATGCTAGTTGCACCATCTTTCTTTAGTTCAGTTTTGCTATTTTGGATATTAGGAGCACACTAGTGCTTTTGAGAACAGGCTATTTTGGAATTATGCACCTTTTTCTGTATGATGATGTAGCTCCTTAGTCCTTAGAAATACATTCCCTTTTCTCCTTCGCTTTTTTGGGCGGTTTGGGTATGGACAGATTCCTTAATCCCTTCTGCATAGACATTCAGTAGCTATCCCTGATGCAATTTAAGCTGGAAGATGATATAAGATCTGTGCATTCTCCGATTTCATCTTCTCTGACAACTTTCACGTTGTTTGTTTGAATACCATCTTTGCATTTGCAGGTTCGGGACTTCTTTACAGCTCAGCGCACAAGAGTTAGAAAGTTCCTGAGGTTGTCTAGAGAGAAGCCTATCATAACCAATTTATCTATTGAAGGGTCTTGTCCGATTCCATTGAGTTCTGATCCTAGTTCACAAACAGAACCAGTTCCCCTAGACAGTGCGGTTCCAATCTGTACAGAGGAGGGGCCATCTTGTTCGACACAAGATGAGGTCCTAACTGCCATGGAGGAGAGGGATAGACATTTTGTTGATAATATCCTTACTTTAATGTGTAAGGAAGAAACCTTTTCTGGGAGGGTTAAGCTGATGGACTGGATCTTGGAATTACAAAACCCCTCTGTGCTATATTGGTACGTGAGAGTTATGGTCGTTGAATTTAAATTGTATTCTAGTGTACTCCTTTTCTAATATAATTTGTTTTCTTAATAACATATTTATAGGTTTTTAACTAAAGGGGGTGTAATGATCTTATCTGCATGGTTGAGTGAAGCAGCTGGAGAAGAGCAAACCAGCATTCTTCATCTCATCCTGAAGGTCCATATTGATCCTTTAATTTTAGATCATTGGCCCATAATGTCATTTTTTCTGCCAGAATATTGTTGTTCTAATGGTTGCTTGGTAATCAGGTACTATGCCATCTTCCTTTACACAAAGCATTTCCTGGACATATGTCTGCTATACTGCAGAGTGTTAACAGTCTGCGATTTTATCGGACTCCAGGTGTGTTGTCCTTGCATTCAACAACTCCTTATTTTATCTTTAGGTATCTTTGTGCTAAAAAGACATTAAAAAACTTAAACTGCTCATCTTCAGGGCTTATACATATCTGGTAGCTTGTCTGAAGCTAGAGTGTTATTGATATTGTGCCGCATTACAGAATTTCCTGAAACTTAGTTGGATATTTAGGAAACATGTCAATCAAAGTCAGCACAGCTTTTTATACTAGCAGTGGCATCTCTACTGAACTATTTACTCAGTGAATCACACATTACATAGTGCTGCTCTGAAGAATTATGCGTATTTGGCATGTCATATTAGGACATTACTTCAGAAATCACTGTGCTGACAATGTAATCATTTTCAATATTTCGTTATCTCAGACGATCTGTTGTGTTTTTGCTGTCAAATAAGGACAGTGTTCTTGGAAACTATTGCACTGGCAATACATTCAACTATATCTTTCTTTACTTCAGATGAACTTTTGGAATTTCGATGTGTGAATTTTTTAATGATCCTGATTTGATACTTTAACTGATCATATTCTGAGAGACAATGGAAAACATCATCGAATAAATATGTTTGTTTCTAGACTGCATCAGCAATATAAAATTTGTTAGATAAGAAGAGACTACTAAAATAGATGTCGTACCATTAGCTTTTATTTGTATCAGCCGGTCAGAGTAATTTGCTATTTCGGTGGGGTTTATATTGTATTTTCATGATAGCTGGCTTCTGTACTGCACTATACTTATATTTTTTGGGAAGGGGAGGGGGGTGGATGGGTAGTTGAGAGAGAGAAATCCTTCTTTAGCTCCATCAGTATTTTGGATCTCATTCATCTGATTTGAAGATCAGATATCTCAAACAGGGCAAGAATTTTGCTTGCAAGATGGAGCAAGATATTTGCAAAGAGCCAGGCTATGAAGAAACGTAATGGGATTAAATCTGCTAGTGATATGCATGATGAGTTGTTATTGCAGCAGAGGTAAGCTTAGGTCGTGCCTCAAAAACACCTGATCGACTTTTCTCATTTATCAACACATTTGTTGCTATTTGCAGCATTAGCGAAGTTGTGGGCGATGAAATATGGAACTCAAAAATTGAGGATGTTGTAAGTTAATGCGTACTTAAATGTATTTGGTTTAGAAGATGCTGTTTTTTGAATAAAAAAGAAGAGCGGATTTTCTATTCTTACTGTATCATTTTCCTTCTGTTTGGTATTTTAGGAAGAAGCTCATGCAAACCTCTGTGGGACTTCAGAGAATTCAAGGTCTGGTGTGTTCTTACTACCTTGCTTTTTGTAATTGTTGATGAATTTCTAAGCACACACCTCTCTTTCAGGAAGTTGGATTCTCCACATCCAGTTAAATTGCTTATGGCATCTTCAGATGACTCTAACAAGAGGCTTAAAGGAGCTTTGGTGACTAGTATCCTTATATTCCCCTATGGTTAATTCAATTTGTCAATAACTTTCAGTCTAAGGTCTTCATTTATCTCGATTGAATGATGGCTCCTCGTTCCGTGGACAATAATTGGAAGAAATTTTGATCTCTCATATATTTCCATGCTTTGAAATCATTGGTATTCAGAAGTTTCCGTAGGGACATACTCATCAAATAGATTTGAGCATGGTAGGGAAAATAGCTATGGTTTTTCCTCTCCTTCTCTGATTTCTTACACTAGCATAGAATCCCTTAACTACTTCAGAAACTCGAGAGCGCAGAAAAGTTCAGCTAATGGAACAACCAAGCCAAAGAACAACGGGAAGAAGCCTAGGAAGACCAGCACCTGCAACTCAAGGCCGCCCACTCTCAGCAGATGATATCCAAAAAGCAAAAATGCGTGCACAGTTTATGCAGAGTAAATATGGGAAAACTAATAATGATGAGAGTTCTCGGGTGAAGCCTCAAGCTCCAAATGGAATTACCTCTTCATCAAATGGTATCTTGCTTGGAGCTCCAAAATTGCAAGATCGGCCTAAAGTTGAGGAATGTGAAAAGCTCAATAGTGTTGCCTCTAATGGGCCCAATCAGCTGGAAAATCATCTCAAGTTGAGTTTTGACGTAGAGGAACCTCCATCGAAAAGGTGCAAGAAAATGCAGATTCCTTGGTGGAAACCACCAGGTAAATTTGCTGTTGTTGTTGCTGAAAGACTGTTCTTGTTAATCTGTAGATTTCAGTAAAGGAGGAACATTAGTTTTTTTAATAGGTTGAAAAGGCAGTCTCACCCATCTTGTCTAATATTATTGCTCAATTTTTTCTCCACAATTCCCTTCATTATTCTTTTTGCTTTCTCTGTCCCAATTTATGTAACACACTTTCCCTTTTAGTCTGTTTAAAAAAGAATGTCACCTGCCCCCAAGGCCTAGCTCAAGTGGCAAAAGGTGGAGGATTCGTGGCTTAGGTCGCAGGTTCAAGCCCCACACCATGCAAAGCGAAGCCCGGTATTTAAGTGGAGAAGGGTAGAGGGGCGGGCCCATTATCCACCGAGTTTAGAAGGCTGTGATTGGTCCAAAGGGCGGGTCACAGACGAATTTCTCGGTTATCAAAAAAAAAGAAAAAGAATGTCACCTTTCTATAATTAGAAACTATTTAACTTTAAAATTTTCCTTTTACCCTTTTGACATGATTTATAGCCACACAAATGGTCAAGGTTTAGACCACACATTTCAGAAATTTTCGTTTCTTTCTTAAACTTTGTGCCAAGTGAAATGGTGCCACATAAATTGGGACGGGAGTGAGTAAAACACAGGATTCAACTGTGAGAATCGTCTCTAGTAAAGTAGTTAGCAACTCAGCCTTGGTCTCTAACTTGCCATACAATATGGTTAGCATGGTCTTCAACTTGTCAGAAAAAAGAAAAGAGAAGGAAAATAATTTTTTTTTGAGCTTTGCTCTCAAATTATATTTTCATGGTAGTCGAGCTAAAGACGATCAGATTTCTGTTGTCTTCCATAAGTTCATTATTCTAGGAACTATTTACTGGGGAAATATAGATGTGGCTTAGTAAAACTACTAGCTCAACTCTAGAAATATCTCTGAAGCGAACTGTTAGTTTTCATTGTTAAACTATCAATTGGGCATCTTAGGAGTGAGGTCTTGATCTTTTAATCATAATAAGCAACTGTTTCCATTTGGTTTTTATTGTTGTGTATTTCGAAAATCTCTTGGAAGTTATGGGTTTTCTGTGGAGCAGTTGATTGCCAAGTGTGCCTTCTCATTGTGAAGGAAATCCTACTTGCAAGTAAAGGGAAACTTTTTGCCTGACACAGATGAAAACGTTCCACATTATGCTTAAAATCAATCAGACAGGAATAATCAGAAAAAGAAGCAGTGGAGTAAAGGTTAATGGTACTTTTATGGGAGACCTGTCTTGGGAAGATATCAATCTATTTTTTGAGTTAACCGCTTATAGTGTGCTTTTATAGATGATCAGTATGAGAGGCCAGAACACGATAAATTAAGTGGGAATATACTGTACCTCATAATCTTTTATACTTTTGACTCTTCATTGCCATATGCTCTTTACAAAAGGCTCAACAGTATGGAGTTCAGTAATTTTTTGTTTTCTCTGTTTGTTTGTTTTAAAATTTGTGGACAATGGTTTACACTAAAATTTTTGTGGAAAATGGTTTACACTAAAAATTGTGGACAATGGTTTACACTAAAGGATAAAAACAAGTAATTTTCTGCTGTGATACCCTTTCTATCTTTAGAATTTTACTCTCTTCTAGTTTTACATCTACAGACTATTATCAGCCCTTACCATAACTACCCATTGTCCTGCAAAATTTTTAGGGTTCGTTTGTGTTAGTTATGTTGGGATTAGTTATGGCTCTATTAGTTATCCTGGTATAATTTCTTATTGACTGTTCAATTTTTTTGTATTACAAATAACATGCATTGCATAATTTTTAAGTTAATTGTTTACAAAAATACCCTTCAACTTATTAGTTGAAAAAGGGTTTGAGGGACCTCATGGGTATTTTTGTCCTTTTTTATCTCGGAATAACTGATTCCGGTACTGTTCCACCCTCCAGTAGGGATAATCTATTCCGGTACTAATTGCTAATTTCGGCATAACTTATCCCAAGACTAGTATCCAAACAAGGAATAAGGCACTACTAAATTTATCTCTGGACTATCTATGCTTGTTCAGTAGACTAGGCGATCCTTAGAGAATGTAATATTATTACAGGGTGTTATCATCTATCAGAATTTTAGTTTGGTCAAACACTGAAGCTAGTTTGGCACGACATGTTAATGAAGCCAAATGTGTGTTCCTATTTTTCTATTGTTTTGGATTTGAATTTTTTTTTTGTTGATGAAAATGGTTATGATATAGGTGTGTTTGACACTGATGGGAAAGATATTCGCAAAAAATGTTGTAGTCAAGGAAAATATTTTGTAGTGCTTAATTGCATTCAATCGTGGAAAATATCTTATGCCTAATGGGTTTATTTTTCTTTACAAAATATTCTACCATTCAATCAACACTAAGTGTAGTTTGGTAGTTGGTTTGGAGGTGAGTTATGCACGTATAATTCTGCATAAGTAATACCATGTCCCAGCATTACTAATACACCATATTGATACTTTTCTTATTCTTAACCAAACGATCTGTCAGATATAATTTCAGTATCTAATTCTAAAAGATATCGTCAAAACACTAATAGCATACCTTGCAGTCTTGCACATCGCACGATTACTACGACTATCTATTATTATACCCACAAACATTGGAGATGATCTAAAAAATGGTGACCTGACTTAAAGATGTTTTTCACAAAAAGTATTTTCATCTAAAACGTTTTTCTCTGTACAGTGAGCACCTTAGAAAAGAAAATGTCTTCTTTAAAGGCGGGAACAAGTAATTGCCTGCTCTTCCTATAGCTGCCTTACTGTCATCAATGACTGTTCCCTTTCATCAGCTCTTGCTGTTGAACTCTTCCTCACCTTCACCCAATCACAGAACGCATGAAGGAAAATTTTGGGATGATGAAATTTTATGTAATTCATTGATAAGTTTCTTACCTTGTCTATCAAAAACAACTTTACCCTCCTTAGCTTTCATTTGTGGGATTACATTGGGTTTGTTGTTGTACTTTTTATATACTGGTTAGATATCAAAAGATCATATTAGAGATTGGCGTGAGGGGTGGGTGGGTTCTTTCTCCAAAAAGAAAATTTGAAAGCAGGATGGATTTATGAGATTTGTTGATCTGCAGAGAATGACTAACCCCAACCACATTCCCCCGTGGGGTGGCATTCAACAGACTAATAACAACGGTTGCGGCAGATTATAAGATCTTTCTTGTGGGTCTGAATTGTAGAGATAGGATATTTGCAGTGTCAGTTCCTTATCCCCCTCCCCGCGCACACCCCACAAACAACGTCAGCACACTGTAGCAAAGAAAAGGTGTAAATAAACTCATAAAAGCAACATGTAGGTGCTGCCTGTAGATGTACGTTTCTGAAGGCCAAATGCAATCTGTCTTCTGCATATGTAGGCAGCAATACTAACATCCAACAAACTTCTTCCATGCACATGATTCCAACAGGCCAACTCCAAATTTGAAGCTTAACAAAATTGTAGTTTGATGTTGGATTGGTGTTTCTTGTTGAGCTCCAAAACTGTGGACAGGGAAAACAATCAAATGTTAATGGTGGTACGGACATGGTTATCCTTTTGATGTTGGATGTCATGTGATTATTTTGTTTTATTATCTTTGCGGAGACAAAAATAGGGTTGACAAACAGCAGCTCTTTTATGTAGCTCAAGGTCTTGACCAGTTTACCGTGTGTTGTTGGGTCCGGTTATTCAACGTTGATACTCATATAATACTGGCCCTTCTACCCTCCCCTCCTCCTTTCAGTTCCCGGCTCGATGTGTAGAAAATCCAGGATGGAAAATTGCAGACATCATTTTCATTTTGAGGATAAAAAATAGCTGTGTAATCACCAGTTTTGTTACTTTTCAGTATGTCTTACTGTGTCTGAAGTTGCAAATAACTTTTAAAAACAACATTTCTAAGTGGTAATTGTTGCCTTGTGGTTTAACAAATTTGAATAGTCCACAGCTGCTAGTATCTTGTTGGGAGATAATGTACGCATGCAAAAGTTTGAACTCTTGTCTGTCAATGGTCATCCTTATTCAACCTTTTCTGTTTGATGCAGAAATGCAGCCCAGCGATGCATGGAAGGTTTGTGCTGGGGGTGAGAGTAAAGAAGTCGACGTTCAGAATAAGAGAATCCGTCGAGAGAGGGAAATTATTTACAGGACAGTCCAGGAAATTCCATTGAATCCCAAGGAACCTTGGGACCGTGAAATGGACCCTGATGACACATTAACCACAGAACTCCCGCTTGAGCAATTACCAGATGCAGAAGGTGCTGAAACAGGTGTTTTGCCGCAGGAGGACAGAGAAACTGAAGCTGCTGCATTAGCCAGCACATCAAATGGCATTGCAACTACAGCAGAACCTGATGTAGAGTTGCTTGCTATACTGCTAAAACATCCAGAGCTGGTTTATGCTTTGACTTCTGGCCAAGGTGGAAACTTGTCCAGTGAGCAAATTGTAAAGCTGCTTGATTCGATCAAAGCCGATGGGAGGAATTCACTGAGCATTCAAACAAATTTAGCCAGAGACGCTGAGAAGAAAGTTGAAGTTTCTCTTCCATCCCCCACTCCTTCCAGTGATCCTGGAACGGTGCGTTATTTAGTCACATTTTGTACAGATTTTAACTATTATGGAATTTGGGCGGGGCTTTCTTCCTCAGTTGTCTCCTCTCCTCTCTTTCCCATTTTTTTTTCTCCACTTCTCGTTTAGATTTTCCAGACAAATAGACGAGAAACAAATAAAACAAATAAACTTTTTTAATCATAAAAGCAAATGAAGCCTGCATTCTGAATCACGTTGGTAAATACAAGTTGTCTTCCTAGTTAGCACTGTACTTTGAGAATCTCCGCTTAGTTCGAGGTCCCCCTAACACAAACAAAGATGTTTCACATATTCATGAAAAGTAAAGTAAAATACTTAACTAATATCGTGGGTTAATTGTTGTGCTATACTATCTTCTTGGCATCTTAGTACTTTTCTGAAACGGGCTCTAATTTTTTTCAACTTATTTTTTTTGGTCTTTCATGCAGAGTGGATTGTCGATGCAGAACTTTGCTAAAAACCCTTTCTCGCAGAGAAGTTCAATGGTGGTTCCAGAAGCAAATGGTGTACATCAACACGCCGCGTTGGTCCATTCGCAGGAAATGCTTCAAGCTAGCAGTTTGGTGCATCAACAGGTCCCCCTTGCGCCACAGTTAGCCCAACAGTTGGCACTGCTTCAAGCAGCTGCAGGGTCTTATGGAAATGATCATCGACCATCTCCACTAAATCCTAGTATAAACCAGACAGTCCTTGCAAATCCTATGCATTCACAATTATCCGCCGCCTCAGAACCAGCAGTAAATAGAAATAATTACACTCCCTTTGGATTGACAGAATACAATCAACAGAGTGCCACTGCAGCAGCAACAGCAAGAATCCAAGGTGAAACATATGGTAATATTCGATCTTCGCAAATTCCTATAGCTAATGTACAACAAAGAACTATTAGCCTACATGCACCTCAGATGACACCACAAAGGCCACAACTACAAACACAGGCGCAACCTGGATATGCACCTGAACATATGTGGGGGACTATACCGGGATCTGCTTTAAATCGGGGTTATCAAGAAAATGCCATTCCTAACAATTACAATCAACATGTTGCCGGACATGTAGAACCAGGATTACAACAGGCTGCATGGAGAGGAAACAGCAACTATTCCGAGGGAGCTGGGTTTGAATCTTGGAGTCCTGATAATAGTCCTGTTAGGCGTCAGGAACAGGTTGCAAGATGGAATTACACACAACCTCAGATGAATATGAGAGACAACTACAGACCTGATTGGTCTGCATCGCGTAATCCTGAGCATTATTCTGGTTATCGTGGTCCTGACGATGGTGGTAATAGGAGGTGGGGTGACAGGAGAAGATAACCTTCAAACGGCTGGCCATTTGATTCTTTTGACGAGTGATTCATTAGTGTTTACATTAGAGTAGAACGTTCTCAGAGGGGGTTGCATTTTTGCAACGTGAAATGGTTGTAAACTTGTAATGTCAGCATGTCACATCACTTTATTTTGTTTACCAATTGGTACCTGTCAACAGAAAAATAGAAAATAGGAATTCAGTTCACTTGGGATCATGCCAAGATTCTTTAGAAAAATAGAAGAAGAAATTTATCCTAGTCAAGGGATTGCTATGTCTTGGTTGTGTCCCTACTTAAAATGCTGGGAATAAGTTATTTCGAGATTAATTATTTTGGAATAAGTTATTTCATCATGTATATGGAATAACTTATGATAAATATTTTTAGGTCTGCCTAATATCTCTAATCAAGATAATCAAATGCAAGATAAAATCCTGCATTGTATTTGTGGGATTATTATATGTTATATATTACACGGGATGACTTTTTATGAACTTAAAATTAACGGAAAAGAGTCAAAATTGCCCCTGAACTATGTGAAATAGACCACTTATACCCTTCCTTCAATTTTGGGATAAAAAATGCCCCTGCTGTTATCCTAAGAGACCACAAATACCCTCAACAGTTGCCAACTAGGATTCACTACAAAAGAACTAGACCTTTAGCGGCAACAACAGTCTCCACAAAAGCCTAGAAAATCGTCACTAAAAGTTTTTAACATTAAATTCTAATTTTGTGTTTTTTTCTTCATTGTTTTTAAAAAATAAAAAATGATATCGATTAAGTAGGAGTTTGAAGACACTGCATGTTTTATTTTTATGATATATGTAAATATATAAAATGTACAATGATGCATTATATAGTAGGAGATTTGAATCGAGAAGTAATTTTGATGATTTTTCGTAATAATATTGTATGTTTTTAATATTGATATTGCAAGTTATTTATTTTAGAAAATTAGGTTGCAATCAAAAATTAATTATAATATTTTTTTGTTGAAAAAATAGGTTTACTAGCGAATGGTTGTTGGAGCCTTAGTCGCCACTAAAAATCACTCATAACCTTTAGTGGCAATATTTTGGGAATTTGTGGCAACTTTGTCGCCACTAAAGGTCAAGTTCTTTTGTGGTGAATCTTAGTTGGCAATGCTTAAGTGGAGGGATTAGTCCCATGTGGCTTGCCACGTCACTAAAAATTTGGGGTGTTAACTCTTGAGGGTATTTGTGGTCTCTTGGGATAACAGCGGGGGGGTTTTTGATCCCAAAATGTAATGGAGGGTATAAGTGGTCTATTTCGCGTAGTTCAGGGGCAATTTTGACCCTTTTCCGTAAAATTAAAGAGTTGTTAAAAAATAAGTGTCATTCTTTTTTAAACACACTAAAAAGGAACGTATGTTAAACAAATTGAAATGTAGGCTAAAGGTAGTATTAATACTCATTCTGTACTAGTTTATGTGGCAAATTTATACTTTATTATTGGCGGATGAAAATGAAGTTCATGATTTTTTTAAAGTTATATTTGAATAAACTTTAGGGAACTTATTAGTTACAGTTCCTAGTATCTTCTATAGGCTATAACTGGCGAAGTATCTGATTCTCTCTTGCTCTGTTGCTCATGCTAACGACTAATTCTCAACGGCGAAAATCAGTACTTGACCAATTACAACTACTCGCCGGCGTTTCACATCATTTCTTCATCGGAAAACTTCAACAGTAGTCGGAGCAACTCTCCAATTTGATCCAGCTGAAGAATCTCTAAATATGGTAGCTAGATTCATCACAAGCAGTCTAAATCGAATACGAAAAACCTACTCAATATCACCAACTATCAGTAGGCACAATTACGATTTCACTCCTCTATATCACTATATGTATCTCCGAGTTTCTAATTCGGTGATGATGATTCAACTACACATGTTGTGAATCCGAGTTTCATGCTTCACAATAGATGGCAGACGGGCGATTCATATTCTCATCTTCATGTCCATCATGACGTCCGCTCCGGTATGACGGAGAGAGGATTTTCTGGCTTGGACTTGCTGCTGATATTGGCCTTGCCGCCAGAAAAGCTTTTACAGATTAAGTATGTGGAAGCACCGCCATTATTGCTGATGCGGTTCATTCTATCTCCGATGTGGTATGTGTGACGTATCTATTGATGTTTATTGTTTATCTAACTTTAATCTATAAAAATGAACGCGAAATTTGTTCCGCTTGCATCTCTTGACCATTTGACAATAGAGGTTGTGAGTTTCCAGAAAATGAACAACATAAAATCTGGTTTTACTTTCTATTAAACAAGTCGAACATAAGTTTGATAGAACTTGATAAACCAGCAAAAAAGTTATTGATGAAAGCAAACTGGATACTTCATTATAAATTCTAGACTAATTAATAGAGTTCACAATCTCAACTGAAATAAATAAAAACAACTCCTAAGAATTAGGGATAAAACTGCTACACAGATTTCAGCGAACTTAGACTGTTGCAGTTTTTATGCATTTTTGTAACACTCTTTGCTTTAAGACCTGCAAACTCCAAGGTTTTCCATGAGAAGTTAAATTTGTTGCCTGGTAAAGGCTCGGTGAAGATATAAGCCTGCTGCTCCTCATTTTTGCAATAGAGAAAACTCACATCACCATTTTTTCGCATTTCTCTTATGAAGAAAAGCTTGATATTGAAGTGTTTAGGTTTACCATGAAATACAGGATTGTGAGAAATTGCAATCGCAAATTGGTTGCCCACATATACTTCAGTTCCTTTTGTTTGATTCATATGCATATCAACCAATATTTTCCTCAACCACAACACTTGAGTCACTGCTGCTATTGCAGCCACAAATTCTGCCTCTGTAGTGGATTGAGCCACAATGAGCTACTTCATTGATTATCATGAAAAAAATACCTAAACCACAACACTTGATTCACTGCTGCTATTGCAGCCACAAATTCTGCCTCTGTAGTGTTGAGCCACTATGAGCTACTTCTAATGCTTTGTTATGGCCTTTGCAGGTTCTGTGTGGTGTGTCATTGCTGTCCTTTCAAGCTGCAAGGGTTCCCAAGGACAAAGAACATCCATGTGGTCACTCTTAATTTGTATCTACACTTAAACTCTTTTGATCTTACATCACTTTCTGTACATGGCTTTATCTTTTGATTTTGTGCTTGTGTTTACTTGTGTAATAGGTGGATGTAATAGCTGCCAACCTAATTAGATTTAGTTAACTGAGGACCGTTCGTTCCCGTGGTTGAATTGATAAAATTAACCAATATATGATTTTGTAATAGAGCTGATATGATATGAATGTTATATCATATCTTCTATATTTATCAATGAATACGAATCTTATCAACTTTACGTCTTAGTGGAAGGCAGACAGCCCTAGAAACATGTACTCTTTCCGTTTATATTTTGTTTGACACATTTGATTGGGGGCTAGGAGTTTGAAATGTTGACTTATATAATATATTAGTTGTAGTAGAAGAAAAGATCAAAGTGATGGTTCATAAGTTAGTTTGATAGATAAATCATTACAGCAAAGTTTATATCTATAGTAAATGAATTTCAATATTTTAAAGTTGTATAATATAATACACTTGTTAGTAAAATAGAGTCAAACAGTTTGAATTAGAAAGAATATCATATACGTTGGAAGGATGGAGTATTAATTGACGCACAAACTTCTTACATGACATAGTGGATCGTGCTTGAGTTAAAGACAGTCAAATGTAACAATTCTGCAGATCTACTGTTCAGATGCCTTTTTTCCTTTACCCTGTTGATTCTCTGTTTTCCTTACTCCTTTACCTGTGTGTTTCTTTCAAATCTAATTGCCTAGTGCTGTCCTATTGTAGCTTTGGTACCAACATCTAGATTACTTATTAAACCACTATGTTGTCTGATCAAATCATAATTCTGGTTTTGCATCTGACTTTACTTTTCATATGAACAGGTCATGGTAAATATGAGACTCTTTGAGCTCTTGGAATTTCTGGTGTGCTGTTGGCTACTGCTGGAGGCATAGGATGGCATGCTTTAGATGTTTTGCTGGTATGTATCTATGGCTAGTATTCATTATTTCTAGGAGTCTATATTCCCATTGTTTGAAATTTTTTGAGACATTTCTTGCAGGGATTGTGGTCTGCAGCCTCTGAAGTTGTTAATCAGTCAATGACTCCTCTGCACGTGCATGAGCAACATCATCATGGAATTGATATGGATCACCCTATCCTTGCTTTGAGTGTGACAATACTCTCTATAGCAGTCAAAGAAGGGTAAGATTCATTTTCACCTTCAATTTGAAAATTAAAAGAATTTGTTCCCTTTTCTTTATGTATCCATAGACATATTACCTTCAAGCAATTTTATTTTTATGAAAGAGAGTTTCTTTGTATTGATTTATTTTTTATGAAAGTTTATTTGTACTCCATCAACGAATTTCCATGACCATATTCCAGACACCATCAACTGTATTTTATGTTATGAAATGCAGTTGCTTTATATTGATTACAAAAGCAAATAATGAAAAGCTGTAATACTTTCTCTCAGATGTGCGGTAGTATAGCAGCTTCATTAATGAAGCAAATAATGAATCAGTGAGTTTGTTCCTATATAAATGTTCAACTTTTTTCTTGTAGATCATACTGGATAACAAAAAGAGAGGGAGAAAGGGTTGGCAGTGGGTTAATTGAAGCCAATGCCTGGCATCATCGTGCCGAGCAGTATCCTCCTTTGTTGGTCTCATAGGGGATGGTTCTTGAATATTGTTTGAGACGACGGGCACAATCGACATCTAACAACTTGAATTTTATTATATCAAAGTAAGGACTCGCTTCGGTCTTACAATCTTGATCACACTTGTTGCTTGCTTTAGCAACACTCTTTATTTGAGCACACACTTACACTTGTTTGCTCTCTTGCTTTCTTACTTACTTGCTTGCTTACTTGGTTTAATACTTACTTAGTTACAACTAAAATGGACCACCTCTATTTATAGGAGGTGATAGAAGAATCTAGAGATATACATACTACTCTATACTAGAATATTTCTAGCTATTTTTTTCTAGAACTACCTTTTCTAGAACATTTTTAGACTATTCTCTCTAGAATACTCATTCTAGAGATCTTCCTTCAATTCTCTACAACTCCGAAATATTCTACATTTCTTGATTTATCTTGAGTAAATAATTAAGTTGGTGATGAATTCTTAATACTCCCCCTAAACACCAACTTAATTTTTTCTTTGCGTTTGTTGTGAGCGGTTCCTAAAACCTTGCAAGCATCATGACGTCCATGCCCTTTGAGGATCTCCACTTTCGTCGGATTATTTTGATCCCTACTCTTTGAAGCTTCTTCAAAGGTAGTAGCCTCTTTGATGTTAACCACCTCATTAATGCTGCATCTATGTACTTGGTGTTTGGACGCTTTAGTCGAGTAGACCTCCTCAGTTGCCATTGTGACCCTTTTTGGACTTTTCTTCTTGCAACTCGTCTGGTGTTTCACAAGCTCCAGTTTGCCATAAGCTTTTCTTTTCCTTTTGTGGAGATACCTCCTGGTTAGTTTCAATCTTGTTCCCTTGTTCTACTTCGTTGAGCTTATCTTGCAGCTTTTGCTCAAGAGCTATCGAGTCTGGCAGGGAGACTTCTTTGGACCACCAAGATGACGCTTCGTCAAATACCACATTTCTTGACACATATGTCCGATTTGTGGCAAGGTCACAACACTTCTATCCTTCTATTTGTTCTTCGTATCCAACAAAGATGCACCGAACAACTTTCTTATCAAATTTGCTGCGGAGATGATTTGGCACAAACACATAACACACACAACCAAAAACTCAAAAGTGACTTACAATAGGGATCATTTTTTTAAGTTTTTCAAATGGTGAGATGAATCTCAATCTTTCCTGCTGCAACCTGTTGGTGATGTGGACAATAGTTTTCATGCATTTTGTCCAAAACCTTGCTGGTACATTCATACTATGTAGCATACTTTTGCATATCTCTGCCAAATGTCTATTTTTTCTTTCAGCCACTCCATTTTGTTGTGGCGTATTCGGGCAAGTTAATTGTCGTCTTATCATCTACTTTTTAAGATAATCATTGAACTCTCGTGACGTGTATTCTCCCCCATTGTCCGTACAGAGACATTTGATTTTTCTTCCAGTATCATTCTCCACATTACATTGGAACTCTTTAAACTTCTCAAATACTTCTCATTTCTCTTTTAATTAGTAAATCCATACGTACCATGAGAAGTCATCAATGAATGCTACCATGTAACGGTAACCACTAATGGAGGACTGCTTCACTAGTCCAAACACGTCTGAGTGTACTAACTTCAATTGCTTCTTTGCTTGATACTTCGATTCTTCATAGGGAAGTTGATGTGCTTTCCCATATTGACATCCAACACATGTAGTGTCTCCTATAATCTCAAGTTTGGGAAGACCTTTTAATTTTGATTGCTGCATCATGATTTTTAGTTTGTTGTAGCTCATGTGCCCAAGACGTGTATGCCACAGATCAGCTGTTTCATTACTTCGAGTTTTCTCAACATAAGTTGTCTCAGCTGACATGACGTAGATTGATTCTAATCTTCTTCCTTCCATGATTGGTGTGCTTGTAACTTTTAAGTTTCGATATACTTTTATGTCATTTGGCCCAAACAAGACATAATTACCAGAATCTGTTAGTTGCGATACAGATAATAAGTTTTTCTTCATACCTGGAACATGGTAGATATTTTGAAGTTCCACTTGTCTCGAGCTATGATGAGACACAAACACCGTCTTGCCAATATGAGTTATTGACATTTTTGAATTATTTGCAGTTACCATTACTTAACCGTCTTTACATTCACTCATGTTAATGAGATTTTTCTCATCACCAGTTATGTGATTGGAATATCCTGAATCAACGATCCAATAATGTTCATAATCGACCAATTTCTCATTTACAATTGCAAGTGCAATCTCTTCTTCTTTGTTAGGGTGACATATGACAAGATCCTCTTGTTGATTAGTTTCTTCAACTGCATAAGAGGTCTCGAAATCCCAAATTTCTTCATCTTTCTTGTTTTGAGTAGAAGTATCTACATTACCTTCAGCTTTCCTGTACCAGCAGTCCTAGCATAGTGTCCTTTCTTTCCACAATTGTAGCATTTCTCCATTTTTCGGTTGTTGAAGCCTTTCGCCTACTTGTTTTGTCGTTGAGTTCTTTGATGTTGATTCTTTTTGTCTCTCCCTGGCCGCGAGCTTCTCTTTTTTTGATAGTCTTGCCTTTTGTTGAAAAGCGCCTTATCTTCGTCTTTTATAGTGAGACTTTATAATGGCTTCTCCAAATCTTCTTCACTTGCCAACAAATTTTCCAACTCAGATAAAGTTGGTTCTGTGGCCCATCCCCGTGTAGCTGTAATTATGCCTTTGCATTCCGGCCTTAGACTAAGAACAATGATTCTCCTCATTCTTGTCTCTGTGATAGCATTCTCTGAATCTAATTTTGATATTTCATCAGATAAAGATTTTACCTTTGAGAAGTATTGACTGATCGTCATATTCCGTTGAGAGATCGACAAAAGTTCATTTTCAAGTCTTTGTAATCTCGCATCATTTTTCTTTGTAAAAATCGATGTCAAGATTTCCCAATCTTCTTGGGGTGCCTTGGCATTCTTAATTTGTTGTAGGAACTCATCCTCGATGGTTACAGTGAGAGCATACGTGGCCTTTCCAGCTTTGACCTTCTACCTTTTTGCTGCTTCAACATTTATTGGTGGTGTGGTGTTTGATCCACTGATGATATCCCATAATTCCTAGCCGAGAAAGTAATATTGCATTCTCTGCTCCATGATCCGTAGTTGCTTGTGTTGAGCTTCTCAACGTTATTGAGAGTGCTTGCGAAATCTGCCATTGATAAGTGCCTCACGACTTGTAGCCTATGACAATAGCTTCTAAGATCTTCTTTACTACCTCGGTCTTATCCACAAGGCTCTGATACCACTTGTTGAATATTGTTTGAGACGATGGGCACAATTGACTTCTCACAACTTGATTTTATTATATCAAAGTAAGGACCCGCTTTAGTCTTACAATCTTTATCACACTTGTTGCTTGCTTCAGCAACACTCTTTACTTGAGCACACACTTGTTTGCTCGCTTGCTTTCTTACTTACTTGCTTGCTTACTTGGTTACAACTCAAATGGACCACTTCTATTTATAGGAGGTGATGGAAGAATCTATAGAGATACATACTACTCTCTTCTAGAATATTTCTAGCTATCTTTGTCTAGAACTACCTTTTCTAGAACATTTTAAGACTATTCTCTCTAGAATACTCATTCTAGAGATCTTCCTTCCATTCTCTACAACTCCGAAATATTCTAGATTTTTCTTGATTTATCTTACTTAAATAATTAAATTGGTGATGAATTCTTAACAATGGTAATGATCTTTATACTCAAATTTGACCTAATTACGTATCTTTTTCTTTTAGCGAACGAGTTTTCACCATTGATTTGTTTAATTGTATCATTGAGAACTAATCAAAATGTGTGTACTGGTTTTACTTTAAGCATGAAATACTAATATGTACTGTGAGTGTTGCTATTAATTTGGTCTAGAATAGTTTATGATTTTTTATATTCACAATATCATTTTTTATTAATAAAGTACATTTATGTATGTAATGTCTACAATAATTACAACATAGCCAGTGTAGTCACACAAGTGGGGTCTGGGGAGGATAGGATGTACGCGGACCTTAGTTCTATCTTTGCGGGGCAGAGAGGTTCTTTTCAATACATCCTCAGCTCAAACAAGAAGGTAATCAAAGCAAGGTTGCAAGGAAATATGACAACAAAAATATCAGGATAGAAAGAAAGCAAATGAAGCAATAGATTGTAGAACACCTTGGAGCATAGGAAACTACGTGATTACTAGATACTACTACTAATAAGGCTATTGGGGGGGGATGTGGCTAGCGCTTGTCTCTCCCATCTAAAAATAGGGGACAACACTTGGCTATATACTAGCATTCTACCCTAATTCTTGACTTCCACACCTTTCTATTTATGTCCTCAGTAATTTGGAGTTATGTTATATCCTGTCTAATCACCTCCCCCATCCCAGTTTTTTCTTCAGCCTGCCTCTACCTCCTTTCTTCTCTCAATTTCTCAATTTGCCCGCCCCTTTGTCAAATCTTTTTCATCTACGGACGTCACGTCCCTCTTTGCCTTTTCATCAACAAGGTGGGGAACAAAACAATCCTCTTTTTCTTCTTCCCCCATTTACGTAGCTGCTGTGGAAACCCTAGAATTAATCCTGATGGAATTGAGCTTTGTTCCTCTTTTTCAATTGGTTGTTGAATCTGATGCGTGAATTGGTTCGATCTATTGCTTCGAGGTCGGTTGGAATTTTCGATTGGCGGAGTCTACAATGGAAAATCAATTACAATTGGCCTTGACCAGTCCTACGACACCGTTCTTGAGCTTGTTCGACTCACAGAAGGAAATTCTCAATAGCCAGATTTATCAGCTCCAAAACATCGTTGTACAACAATGTAACCTCACTGGCGTCAATCCCCTCTCTCAAGAGATGGTTCGTTTTCTTAATCTTTGTTTTTTTCTGAAGTTTTTTTTATTTGAGTACTTGTTTCTCTTAAATTTCTGAATTTGCCTCTTGTACTTAGTTGGTAATGATTGTTTTAGGAAATGTAGGAACTAGCATTGGTTAAGTTGACAGTTCATTAAGTTTTATGGTTAACTAGATTCACCTTTTACAGTACAGAAATGGTAATGAATTTATGTTTATGTAAGTCATAAGTGTAACATACTATATGTGGTTGTACAATTGAAGGATTAAATTTTTAAAAAGAACTTTTTAAAGGCTTTCTGTCATTCTTGCTGTTATGCATAATTTTTTATTTCTTTTGTTCCATATGCTCCAAAAGAGACAAGAAAGTCCCATCTTCCATGCTTGCTCCTTTTTATTTCCAAGTGTATCTAATTTCTAACACATGATTGCTTTCTTAGGTGTCCTTGGTTAATTAGAATACAAGATTTCACAGCTGTTAAAGCCAACCTGCATGCAACAATAAGTCGTTAGTATCTTGTCCAGATTTTTTGACATGTGCAACGCTAACTTACAAGTATCCTTGCCTCTTTCTTAAACAGTCCACACTTGAAGTAGCACCTCGTACATAAAAAAAGCGAGCTACTTTCTTCCCATCACTTAGTGGTCATAACATTTTCCACCCATCCCTCCCGTCTCCCAACCTAAAGGTCCAAATAAAAGTTTTTATCTATAAAGACCTTGTCCCTTCCTCCTTCATTTCATTTTATTTCACCCTTCCATGTATCATTACATACTCTATGAAAGAATTCCTTAACTTTCCAGTTTAATTTTTAATGGAAGAACTCCCTGACTGCATTCCTTTCCCAATCTTTAATGACCCTCCTAAAACTTATACTGATACCCTTAAAGGTCTCAGTCAAGTAATCAGTTATCAAAGTATCTTTCTCTTTACTAATCCATTTACATGTGTATATGCATTCTCTATGGCTATCCCTTCAGACTATACATCCTTTCAAAACCTAACACTAGAGTCATCATTCATCCTAGAGCCAATACAGCTATCCACTCAGTCCCTCACCAGAAATCATCCACCACGTGCTATTCCATTTTAAGTAGATATGAAATTACCCGATACCTGTATAGACTTACTCGGTACTTGTGTTTGTGGGAGCTTGCAAGTACTAAGCTCCCCTAGACACCAGTGTCATAAAAAATTTAGAGCTTGAATGGGTTAACGGATTGAAAAGTAGCCGATAAGCATTGTGTGCTGAAATTGATTTTATAAATAAGTTGTAATGTATCATCTTTCTTCTCCTTAAAAAAAGTAGTTATGTGATCGTGTAGAAGTGCTAAAATTGATAATAAGCAGTTGAAATGTTTGGTTAAAAAGTGTTGATAAATAATTTTTCCATTAAAATGACTAATATATCCTTAAAGTTATTTTCAAAATTATATATTAAAAAGTATGTACACAAGGAGAAGAACAAACAACAGAATGTAATGGAAGCGATTTTAAGAGTCCTGTTTTGAGAGGAGAATTTTGAAAATTTAGATAGTTTTAGGCAAATTAGAAGTGCTGTTTGCCGAAAAGCGATAAGTTGGAGGTGACCAACTTGTGTCTTATGTTGATTTTGGCTTATAAGCAATTTATGTGTTTACCAAACATGTAGTTAGTAGATATAATATCTTTTGATGACACATTATCCTCTTGAGATTATCCCCATAATCATCTTCTTAGAAGTGCTGTATTGAAGGTGAATTATCTCTTTTCTCTTTTGATACAGAGAAATCCGTGTGGAGCCAACTCTTAGGACCAACCACAACTTTCGAAACTCGGGGATAATGAGCCCACACCCCTATCTCCTGATTCCTAACCTCTCTCTGTATCCTCTCTACCAAATTTCCCTTCCTTTCTTCCCTAGAAAGGTTTTGATCAATTTCTCCAGTTTGTTTGCTCGTAAATACTACCACGATACATGATTTATAAGTTGGTCACAAAAATGAGATTCCTCTGCTGAATTAATTTTTCTATTCTTGGATTTGTACATACATAGGCTACAATTATCAAACCTCATCTCATTACATTGGGTGATTTGGGAACTTATTTCTGCTGATGGCTCATTCATTTTTCTTCCGTTGTGCAGGCTGCAGGATCTCTTTCAATAAAAATTGGTATGACTCCTTGGCCTAAATTAAAATCATGATGCTTGTGTAGTCGAGTAAAAAATTTAGTTGACTTGGATCCCTTCTGAGAATGAACACACAGGAGCAAATATGACATATTCATTTGTTACTCTTCTATTATTTTTTTGCACATTGATTATACTACGTGAAGCATGTTGCTTTTGTTGGGTGGTTCTTTCATTTTATTCTGTTTGATTTGCTTTTTACTTGTATATTTGTTTTTTATTTTATTTGCTTTTTACGTATCATCTTTTTAAAAAAATTATTTGCTTTAGTAGTAGGTTTTTTTTTGTTGCCAAGTACAACATTGCTTTTATGTACCAGAATTACTTGTCTCGATGTTTAAGGTGAACTTGCTTAACAATCTAAGTTGCTACTGTCATCTTATTTTTACAAGCTGATGCTTTGATCCAAATTATATGTAACGCCTCTTTTAGTTATTAGCGTAAATGACGCTCTTGACTTCTTCAATTTTTGTGCGAGCTACTCTGATTCCATTTGTATTCTGTTAGTTTAACATCATCTGTTGCAGGCAAAAGGCCAAGGGATCTCCTAAACCCCAAGGCAATCAAGTATATGCAATCTATTTTCTCTGTCAAAGACGCAATCAACAAGAAGGAAATGCGTGAAATTAGTGCTCTTTTTGGTGTCACAGTCACACAGGTGTGTTGCTTTTTCACAGTTTTTAGTAATTATTTCTCCATTCTATCTGGCTTGAATTTTGTTTAAAACTTTTCTACATTAGTGAATGTCGATTATTTTAAATGTGATTGGATTCCTTGTCTAGAATTTGAGTTAAGATCATAGATCAAGAAGAGCAATTGTTTGACTTGTAAATCTCAGTATCTCTTATTTGTTTCATGAGCAATGGTTTGACTTGTAAATTTCAGTATCTCACATTTGTTTGATGCTATGAAGTGCAATAATCCTATGCTCATGAGTCGTCATTGTTCAAAAGAATTTTTCCGTGGAATGTCACTCTCAAAAACTATGAAAGGAGCATATGTTGGTGGTATTTGCATACTAGTTGCACCATCTTTCTTTAGTTCAGTTTTGCTATTTTGGATATTAGGAGCACACTAGTGCTTTCGAGAACAGGCTATTATGGAATTATGCACCTTTTTGTGTTTGATGATGTAGCTCCTTGGTCCTTAGAAATACATTCCCCTTTCTCCTTTGCTTTTTTGGGTGGTTTAGGTATGGAAAGATTCCTTAATCCCTTCTGCATAGACATTCAGTAGCTTTCCCTGGTGCAATTTAAGCTGGAAGATGATATAAGATCTGTGCATTCTCCGATTTCATCTTCTCTGACAACTTTCACGTTGTTTGTTTGAATATCATCTTTGCATTTGCAGGTTCGGGACTTCTTTACAGCTCAGCGCACAAGAGTTAGAAAGTTCCTGAGGTTGTCTAGAGAGAAGCCTATCATAACCAATATATCTATTGAAGGGCCTTGTCTGATCCCATTAAGTTCTGATCCTAGTTCACAAACAGAACCAGTTCCCCTAGATAGTGCAGTTCCAACCTGTACAGAGGAGGGGCCACCTTATTTGACACAAGATGAGGTCCTAACTGCCATAGAGGAGAGGGATAGGCATTTTGTTGATAATATCCTTACTTTAATGTGTAAGGAAGAAACCTTTTCTGGGAGGGTTAAGCTGATGGACTGGATCTTGGAATTACAAAACCCCTCTGTGCTATATTGGTACGTAAGAGTTGTGGTCGTTGAATTTTAATTGTGTTCTAGTTTACTCCTTTGTTTTCTTAATTGTATTCTAGTTTACTTGCGAATATAATTTGTTTTCTTAATAACATATTTGTAGGTTTTTAACTGAAGGGGGTGTAATGATCTTATCTGCATGGTTGAGTGAAGCAGCTGGAGAAGAGCAAACCAGCGTTCTTCATCTCATCCTGAAGGTCCATATTGATCCTTTAATTTTAGATCATTGGCCCATAATGTCATTTTTTCTGCTAGAATATTGTTGTTCTAATTGTTACTTGGTTATCAGGTACTCTGCCATCTTCCTTTACACAAAGCATTTCCTGGACATATGTCTGCTATACTGCAGAGTGTTAACAGTCTGCGATTTTATCGGACTCCAGGTGTGTTGTCCTCGCATTCAACAACTCCTTATTTTATTTTTAGGTATCTTTCTGTTAAAAAGACATTAAAAAACTTAATGTGCTCATCTCCATGGCTTATACATTTCTGGTAGCTTGTCTGAAGCTTGAGTATTATTGATATTATGCCGCATTACAGAATTTCCTGAAACTTAGTTGGATATTTAGGAAACATGTCAATCAAAGTAAGCACAGCTTTTTATACTAGCAGTGGCATCTCTACTGAACTATTTACTCAGTGAATCACACATTACATAGTGCTGCTCTTAATAATTATGCGTATATGGCATGTCATATTAGGACATTACTTTCAGAAATCACTGTATTGGCAATGCAATCATTTTCAGTATTTCGTTATCTCAGACGATCTGTTGTGTTTTTGCTGTCAAATAGGACAGTGTTCTTGGAAACTATTTCACTGGCAATACATTCAACTATATCTTTCTTAACTTCAGATGAATTTTTGGACTTTCAATCTGTAAATTTTTTAATGATCCTGATTTGATACTTCAACTGATCATATTCTGAGAGACAATGGAAAGCATCATCGAATAAATATGTTTATTTCTAGACTGCATCAGTAATATAAAATTTGTTAGATAAGAAGACACTACTAAAATAGATGATGTTGCATTTTCATTTATTTCTATCAGCCGGTCAGAGTAATTTGCTATTTCGGGGTGGTTTATACTGTATTTTCATGATAGCTGGCTTCTGTACTGCACTATATTTGTATTTTTTGGGATGGGGAGGGGGTGAAGGGTGGTTGAGAAACCCTTCTTTAGCTCCATCAGTATTTTGGATCTCATTCATCTCATTTGAAGATCAGCTATCTCAGACAGGGCAAGTATTTTGCTTGCAAGATGGAGCAACATATTTTCAAAGAGCCAGGCTATGAAGAAACGTAATGGGGTTAAATCTGCTAGTGATATGCATGATGAGTTGTTATTGCAGCAGAGGTAAGCTTAGGTCGTGCCTCAAAAATACATTTATGGCTTTTCTCAGTTATCAACACATTTGTTGCTGTTTGCAGCATTAGCGAAGTTGTGGGTAACGAAGTTTGGAACTCAAAAATTGAGGACGTTGTACGTTTATTGCGAACTTAAATGTATTTGGTTTAGAAGATGCTGGTTTTTTTGAATAAAAAAGAAGAGCGGATTTTTATTCTTACTTGATCATTTTCCTTCTGTTTGGTATTCTAGGAAGACGCTCGTGCAAACCTCTGTGGGACCTCAGAGAATTCAAGGTCTGGTGTGTTCTTACTACCTTGCTTTTTGTAATTGTTGATGAATTTCTAAGCACACACCTCTCTTTCAGGAATTTGGATTCTCCACAGCCAGTTAAATTGCTTATGGCATCTTCAGATGACTCTAACAAGATGCTTAAAGGAGCTTTGGTGACTAGTATCCTTGTATTCCCCTATGGTTAATTCAATTTGTCAATAACTTGCAGTGTAAGGTCTTCATTTATCTCGATTGAATGATGGCTCCTCGTTCCGTGGACAATAAACTGTCGTTGGAAGAAATTTTGATTTCTCATTTGTTTCCATGCTTTGGAATCATTGGTATTCAGAAGTTTCCATATGACATACTCATCAAATAGATTTGAGCGTGGTAAGGAAAATCGCTATGGTTTTTCCTCTCCTTTTCTGATTTCTTACACTTGCATAGAATGCCTTAACTACTTCAGAAACTCGAGAGCGCAGAAAAGTTCAGCTAATGGAACAACCAAGCCAAAGAACAATGGGAAGAAGCCTAGGAAGACCAGCACCGGCAACTCAAGGCCGCCCACTCTCAGCAGATGATATCCAAAAAGCAAAAATGCGTGCACAGTTTATGCAGAGTAAATATGGGAAAACTAATAATGATGAGAGTTCTCGGGTGAAGCCTCAAGCTCCAAATGGAATTACCTCTTCATCAAATGGTATCTTGCTTGGAGCTCCAAAATTGCAAGATCGGCCTAAAGTTGAGGAATGTGAAAAGCTCAATAGTGTTGCCTCTAAAGGGCCCAGTCAGCTTGAAAATCATCTCAAGTTGAGTTTTGACGTAGAGGAACCTCCATCGAAAAGGTGCAAGAAAATGCAGATCCCTTGGCGGAAACCACCAGGTAAATTTGCTGTTGTTGTTGCTGAAAGACCGTTCTTGTTAATCTGTAGATTTCAGGAAAGGAAGAACATTAGTTTTTTTAATAGGTTGGAAAGGCAATCTCACCCATCTTGTCTAATATTATTGGTCAATTTTTTCTCCACAATTCCCTTCATTATTCTTTTTGCTTTCTCTATCCCAATTTATGTAACACACTTTCCCTTTTAGTCTGTTTAAAAAAGAATGTCACCTTTCTATAATTAGAAACTATTTAACTTTAAAATTCCCCTTTTACCCTTTTGACATGATTTATAGCCACACAAATGGTCAAGGTTTAGACCACACATTTCAGAAGTTTTCGTTTCTTTCTTAAACTTTGTGCCAAGTGAAATGGTGCCACATAAATTGGGACGGGAGTGAGTAATACACAAGATTCAACTGTGAGAATGTCTCTAGTAAAGTAGTTAGCAACTCAACCTTGGTCTCTAACTTGCCATAAAATATGGTTAGCATGGTCTTCAACTTGTCAGAAAAAAGAAAAGAAAAGGAAAATGATCTTTTTGAGCTTTCCTGTCTAATTTTATTTTCATGGTAGTCGAGTTAAAGACGATCAGGTTTCTGTTGTCTTCCATAAATTCATTATTCTAGGAACTATTTACTGGGGAAATATAGATGTTGCTTAGTAAAACTACTAGCTCAACTCTCGAAATATCTCTGAATTTAACAGTTAGTTTTTATTGTTAAACTATCAATTGAGCATCTTAGGAGTGAGGTCTTGATCTTTTAGTCAAAATAAGTAACTGTTTCCATTTGGTTTTTGATGTTGTATTTTAAAAATCTCTTGGAAATTATGGGTTTTCTGTGGAGCAGTTGATTGCCAAGTGTGCCTTCTCATTGTGAAGGAAATTCTACTTGCAAGTAAAGGGAAAATTTTTGCCTCACTTGGATGAAAACGTCCACATTTTGCCTAAAATCAATCAGACTGGAATAATCAGAAAAAGAAGCTGTGAAGTAAAGGTTAATGCCTGTCTTGGGACGATATCAATCTATATTTTGGGAAGATATCAATCTATTTTTCAAGTTAACTGCTTATAGTGGGCTTTCATAGATGATCAGTATGACAGGCCAGAACACGATAAATTAGGTTGGAATATACTGTACCTCATAGTCTTTTATACTTTTGACTCTTCGTAGCCATATGCTTTTTACGAAAGGAGTTCAGTAATTTCAGTTATTATTCAACAGTATGGAGTTCAGTAATTTTTTGTTTTCTCTGTTTTTGGTCTTTGGTTGTTTTTAAATTTGTGGACAATGGCTTACACAAAAAGGATAAAAACATGTCATTTTCTGCTGTGATACTCTTTCTATCATAAGAATTTTACTCTCTTCTAGTTTCACATCTACACACTATTATCATCCCTTACCATAGCTACCAGTTGTCCTGCAAAATTTTTAGGGGTCGTTTGTGTTAGTTATGTTGGGGTTAGTTATGCCTCTATTAGTTATCCTAGTATAATTTCTTATTGACTGTTCATTTTTCTTGAATTAAATATTGTAACATGCATCGCAATATTGCATAATTTTTAAGTTAATTGTTTACAAAAATACCCTTCAACTTATTTAGTTGTAAAAGGGTTCGAGGGACCTCATGGGTATTTTTGTCATTTTCATTGTTTATCCCGGAATAACTTATTCCGGTACTATTCCACCCTCCAGTAGGGATAATCTATTTCTGTACTAATTACTAATTTTTGCATAACTTATCGTTGATTAGTACCCAAACAAGGAATAAGGCACTACTAAATTTTACCTCTGGACTATCTATGCTTGTTCAGTAGACTAGGCGATCCTTAGAGAATGTAATATTATTACAGGGTGTTATTATCTAGCAGAATTTTAGTTTGGTCAAACACTGAAGCTAGTTTGGGACGACATGTTGATGAAGCCAAATGTATGTTCCTATTTTCCCATTGTTTGGTGTTTGGATTTTATTTTTGTTTTTGACAAAAATGGCTAAGATATTGGTGTGTTTGGCCCTGATGGGAAAGATATTCGCAAAAAATGTTGTAGTCAAGGAAAATATTTTGTAGTGATCAGTTTATTTTTCTTTACAAATATTCCACCCATTCAATCAACACTAAGGGTAGTTTGGTAGCTGATTTGAAGGTGAATTATGCATGTATTAAAATTCTACATAAGTAATACCACGTCCCAGCATTACTAATACACCATATTCAATACTTTTCTTTTACTTAACCAAACGATCCCTCAGATAATATTTCAGTATCTAATTCTAAAAGATATCGTCAAAACACTAATAGCATACCTTGCAGTCTTGCACATAGCACGTATCTATTTTTAACCCACAAAATTTGGAGATGATCTAAAATATGGTGACCTGACTTGACTTAAAGACGCTTTTCACAAAAAGTATTTTCATCTAAAACGTTTTTCTCTGTACAAAGAGTACCTTAGAAAAGAAAATGTCTTCTTTAAATGCATGAACAAGTAATTGCCTGCTCTTCCTATAGCTGACTAACCCCAACCCACTTTGCCCAGTGGGGTGGCATTTTATTTTTTTTTGATAACCGAGAAATCCGTCTGTGACCCGCCCTTTGGACCAATCACAGCCTTCTAAACTCGGTGGATAATGGGCCCGCCCCTCTACCCTTCTCCACTTAAATACCAGGCTTCGCTTTGCATGGTGTGGGGCTTGAACCTGCGACCTAAGCCACAAATCCTCCACCTTTTGCCACTCAAGCTAGGGCTTGGGGGCCAGTGGGGTGGCATTTATCAGACTAAACAAGAGGAAACAACGGTTCCAAGAGGCCAACTCCAAATTTGAAGCTTAACACACTAAAAAAGTTGGTCAATTTGTAGTTTGATATGGGATTGGTTGATTCTTGTTGAGCTCCAACTCTGTGGACTGGGAAAACAAGCAAGTGTTTCAAATGTTAATGGTGGTACAGACATGGTTATACTTTTGATGTTGGACTGTCATGTGATTATTTTGTTTTATTCTCTTGGCGGAGACGAAAGTAGGGGTGACAAACAGCACTTTTTTTATGTAGCCCAAGGTCTTGATCTGTTTACGTGTGTCGTTGGATCTAATTATTCAATTTTGAAACTCATATAATTCTGGTCCTTCTACCCTCCCCCTCCTTCACGGCTCAATGTGTAGAAAATCCAGGATGTGGAAGTTGTAGACTCATCCTCTTCATATCAAGAATAAAAAATAGCTCCGATTCTGATCACCAAGTTGTTACTTTTCAGTATGTCTTACTGTGTCCGAAGTTGCAAATAACTTTTTAAAACAGCATTTCTAAGTGGTATATGTTGACTTCCGGTTTAACAAATTTGAATCATCCACAGCTGGTAGTTTCTTGTTGGGAGATAATGTACGCATGGAAAAGTTGGAACTCTTGTCTGTTAATGGTCATCCTTATTATGCAGTTATCCTTTTTTAACCTCTCCTGTTTGATGCAGGGTTGCAGCTCAGCTATGCATGGAAGGTTTGTGCAGGGGGTGAGAGTAAAGAAGTCGACGTTCAGAATTGGAGAGTCCATCGAGAGACGGAAGCCATTTACAGGACAGTCCAGGAAATCCCATTGAACCCCAAGGAGCCTTGGGATCCTGAAATGAAGCCTGATGACACATTAACCACCGAACTCCCGCTTGTGCAATTACCAGATGCGGAAGGTGCTGAAACAGCTGTTTTGCCGCAGGAGGACAGAAAAACTGAAGCTGCTGCATTGGCTAGTACGTCAAATGGCATTGCAACTACAGCAAAACCTGATTTAGAGTTGCTTGCTATACTGTCAAATGGCATTGCAACTACAGCAAAACCGGATTTAGAGTTGCTTGCTATACTGCTAAAACATCCAGGGCTGGTTTATGATTTGACGTCTGGCCAAGGTGGAAACTTGTCCAGTGAGCAAATTGTAAAGCTGCTTGATTCGATCAAAGCCAATGAGAGGAATTCACTGAGCATTCAAACAAATTTAGCCAGAGACGCTGAGAAGAAAGTTGAAGTTCCTCTTCCATCCCTCACTCTTTCCAGTGATCCTGGAACGGTGCGTTATTTAGTCACATTTTGTACAGATTTTAACTATTATGGAATTTGGGCGGGGCTTTCTTCCTCAGTTGTCTCCTCTCCTCTCTCTTTCCCATTTTTTTCTCCACTTCTTCTCGTTTAGCTTTTCCAGACAAGTAAACTAGAAACAAATAAATAAAATAATCATAAAGCAAATGAAGCCTGCACTCTGAATCACGTTGGTAAATACAAGTTGTCTTCCTAGTTAGCACTGTACTTTGAGAATCTCCGCTTAGTTCGAGGTCCCCCTAATTCAAACAAGGATGTTTCACTTATTCATGAAAAATAAAACAAGATACTTAACTAATATCCTGGGTTAATTGTTGTTCTAGACTATCTTCTTGACATCTTAGTTCTTTTCTGAAATGGGCTCTAATTCTTTTTTAACTTTTTTTGTCTTTCATGCAGAGTGGATTGTCAATGCAGAACTTTGTTAAAAATCCTTTCTCACAGAGAAGTTCAATGGTGGTTCCAGAAGCAAATGATGTGCCCCAACACGCGGTGTTGGTCCATTCACAGGAAATTCATCAAGCTAGCAGTTTGGTGCATCAGCAGATGCCCCTTGTGCCACAATTGGCCCAACAGTTGGCACTGCTTCAAGCAGCTGCAGGGGCTCATGGTGTGCCCCAACACGCCCCGTTGGTCCATTCACAGGAAATTCATCAAGCTAGCAGTTTTGTGCATCAGCAGACGCCCCTTGTGCCACAATTGGCCCAACAGTCTGCACTGCTTCAGGAAGCTGCAGGGTCTTATGGTGTGCCCCAACACGCCCCGTTGGTCCATTCACAGGAAATTCATCAAGCTAGCAGTTTTGTGCATCAGCAGATGCCCCTTGCGCTACAATTGGCCCAACAGTCTGCACTGCTTCAGGAAGCTGCAGGGTCTTATGGAAATGATCATCGACCATCTCCACTAAATCCTAGTATAAACCAGACAGTCCTTGCAAATCCTATGCGTTCACAATTATCCGCCGCCTCAGGACCAGCAGTAAATAGAAATAATTACTCTTTCTCTGGATTGACGGAATACAATCAACAGAGTGCCACTGCAGCAGCAAGAATCCAAGGTGTAACATATGGTAATATTCGATCTTCGCAAATGCCTATAGCTAATATACAACAAAGAACTATTAGCCTACATGCACCTCAGATGTCACCACAAAGGCCACAACTACAAACACAGAGGCAACCTGGATATGCACCTGAACATATGTGGGGGACTATACCGGGATCTGCTTTAAATCGGGGTTATCCAGAAAATGCCATTCCTAACCATTACAATCCACATGTTGCCGGGCATGTTGAACCAGGATTACAACAGGCTGCATGGAGAGGAAACAACAACTATGGCGAGGGAGCTGGGTTTGAATCTTGGAGTCTTGATAATAGACCTGTTAGGCGTCAGGAACAGGTAGCAAGATGGAACTACGCAGAACCTCAGATGAATATGAGAGACCGCTACAGACCTGATTGGTCTGCATCGTGTGATCCTGGGCATTATTCTGGTTATCGTGGTCGTGCCGATGGTGTGAGTAGGAGGCGGGGTGACAGGAGAAGGAGAAGATAACCGTCAAACGCCTGGCCATTTGATTCTTTTGACGAGAGATTCGTTAGTGTTTACATCAGAGTAGAACGTTCTCAGAGAGGGGGTTGCATTTTGCAACATGAAATGGTTGTAAACTTGTATTGTCAGCATGTCACATTACTTTATTTTGTTTCTCAATTGATACCTGTCAACAGCAAAATAGAAAATGGGAACTCGGTTCACTTGGGATCATTCCAAGAATCTTTTAGAAAAAAAAGAAGAAATTTATCCTAGTCAAGGGTTTGCTATGTCTTGATTGAGTCCCTATTTGAAATGATGTGCAGCTTTCATTAGAATTCAGGGGTCGTTTGGTTGAAAATAAGTTATTTCGAGATCAATTATCTTGGGATAAATTATTCCATCATATATGGGACAACTTATTCCATTACTAAGGTATAAATTCTTAGGACTGTCTAATACCTCCAGTCAAACACAAGATAAAATAACCTTTTATTTTATTCGTGGGATTAGTAAACGTTATATCTCATATCAAATGACTTCTCTTAAAGATAATTAGTTACCTTCATGTTTCAATTTATTTGACCTATTTTAATTTGACATGGAGTATAAAAAAATAAAGAAGATTATTGTAGTCTTACATTAAATATATGTCAAATATATCAAAATGACATTAATCTTGTGATTTATTAAACACGTTACGTGAAAATTTGAAATTAAACTAAAAAATAAAAGAGTCATTCTTTTATAAATGCACGCTCCTAAACAGAAAATATGTCAAACAAATTGATATAGAGGGCGGAGGGAGTATTACACTAGTATTAATATTTAATACTTCTTATGTATCAATTTATATGACGAATTTGAAATTTTGAATATCAAATTTTTATATATAAGTTGAGACAGACAAAGTAATTATTATTGGCAGAAGAAAATGAAGTTCATGATCTCAGTTAGACTTAAAACCATTTGAATTAGCTGAATTTATGTACTTCGTCCGTTTCAAGTTTTGTGTCACACTGGGACTGACCGAGGAAGTAGTTTTTAAGCTAAAAGTAATACTTTTTCAAGCGCCAAAGCTTAATATATTGAATAAATTTTCTGAAACTTATCAGTTACAGCTTGTAGTACCTTTTATTTATAGGCGAGCTGGCGAAGTATCTGATTCTTTCTTGCACATACTAACGACTAACGGCGAAAATCGGTACTGAACCAATTACGACTCCTCGCCGGCGTTTCACATCATTTCTTCATCGGAAACTTCAACAGTAGTCGGAGCGACTCTCCAATTTGATCCAGCTGAAGAATCTCTAACATGGTAGCTAGATTCATCACAAGCAATCTCAATCGAATACGAAAAACCTACTCAGCATCAACAACTCTCAGTAGGCACAACTACGATTTCACTTCTCTATATTCTTCTCCTTATTTGCAATTGGATGACGATTCGGCTACACGTGTTGTGAATCCGAGTTTCATGCTGCAGAAGAGATGGCATACGGGCGATCATCATGATCATCACGATCTCCGCTCCGGTAAAGACGGCGAGAGGATTTTTCGGCTTGGACTTGCTGCTGACATTGGCCTCGCCGCTAGTAAAGCTTTTACAGGTTATGTATGTGGAAGCACCGCCATTATTGCTGATGCGGCTCATTCTATCTCCGATGTGGTATGTGTGATGTATCTAGTCATGTATATTGTTTAGCTAGATTTATTCTATAAAATGAACTCTCAGTTTGTTCTGCTTGTATCTGTTGACCATTTGACAATAGAGATTGTGAGTTTCCAGAAAATGAAGAACATAAAATCTGGTTTTACTTGCTATTAAACAAGCCGAACATAAGTTTGATAGAATTTGATAAACGAGCAAAAAAACTATTGATGAAAGCAAACTGCATTCTTCATTATAAATTGCAGACTAATTTATAGAGTTCACAATCTCAACTGAAATAAATAAATAAATTAAAAAAACTCCTAAGAATTAGGGATAAAACTGCTACACAGATTACAGCGAACTTAGACTGTTGCAGTTTTTATGCATTTTTGGAACACTCCTTGCTTTAAGAGCTGCAAACTCCAAGTTTTTGCCCAAGATGTTGAAATTTGTTGCTTGGTAAAGGCTTGGTGAAGATATCAGCTAGATGCTCCTCAGTCACATCACCTTTTTTTGCATTTCTCTCAAGAACAAAAGCTTGATGTTGAAGTGTTTAGTTTTACCATGAAATACAGGATTGTGAGAAATTATTATCACAAATTGGTTGTCCACGAATACTTCAGTTCCTTTTGTTTGATTCATATGCATATCAACAATATTTTCCTCAACCACAACACTTGATTCATTGCTGCTATTGCAGCCACAAATTCTGCCTCTGTAGTGGATTGAGCCACAGTGAACTACTTCTAATGCTTTGTTATGGCCTTTGCAGGTTCTGAGTGGTGTATCATTGCTGTCCTTTCAAGCTGCAAGGGTTCCCAAGGACAAAGAACATCCTTATGGTCACTCTTGATTTGTATTTACACTTTTAACTCTTTTGATCTTACATCACTTTGTCTACATGGCTTTACCTTTTGATTTTGTGCTTGTGTTTACTTGTGTAATAGGTGAACGTAATAGCTGCCAACCTAATTAGATTTAGTTAACTGAGGATTGTTCGTTCCTGTGGTTGATTTGATAAAATTAACCAATATATGATATTGTAAAAGAGCTGACATGATATGAAACTTATATCATATCTTCTATATTTATCAATGAATATGAATCTTATCACTGTCGGCTCCTTGAACTTTACAACTTAGTGGAAGGTAGTCAGCCCTAGAGACATGTACTCCTTCCGTTTATTATATTTTGTTTGACACAGTTGATTGGGGGAAAGGAGTTTGAAATGTTGACTTGTATATTATATTAGTTGTAGTAGAAAAAAAACATCAAAGTAATGGTTCATAAATCATAAGTTAGCAAAATAGAGTCTAACACTTTGAACACTCCCCCACCCCCAAATAGAAAGAAGACATAGTGGATCTTGCTTGAGATAAAGACAGTCCAATGTAACATTTCTGCAGATATACTGTTCAGATGCCTTTTATCCTCTACCCTGTTGATTCTCTGTTTTCCTTACTCCTTTACCTGTGTGTCTCTTCCAAATATAATTGCCCAGTGCTGTCCTATGGTAGCTTTGGTACCAATATCTAGATTACTTATTAAAACCACTATGTTGTCTGATCAAATCATGCTTCTGGTTTTGCATCTGATTTTACTTTTTACATGAACAGGACATGGTAAATTTGAGACTCTTGGAGCTCTTGGAATTTCTGGTGTGCTGTTGGCTACTGCTGGTGGCATAGGATGGCATGCTTTAGATGTTTTGCTGGTATGTATCTATCGCTGGTATTCATTATATCTAGGAGTCTATATTCCCTATTGTTTGAATTTTTTTGAAACATTTCTTGCAGGGATTGTGGTCTGCAGCGCCTGAAGTTTTTAATCAGTCAATGACTCATCAGCACGTGCATGAGCAACATCACCATGGAATTGATATGGATCACCCTATCCTTGCTTTGAGTGTGACGATACTCTCTATAGCTGTTAAAGAAGGGTAAGTCATTTTCACCTTCAATCAGAAAAATAGAAGAATTTGTTACCTTTTCTATATGTATCCGTATACATATTACCTTCAAGCCCGTTTTATTTTTAAGAAAGACAGTTTCTTTGTATTGATTTTACTTTTAATGAAAGACAGTTTCATTGTATTGATTTTGTTGTTATGAAATACAGTTGCTTTATATTGATTACAAAAGCAAACAATGAAGCTGTTATACTTTCTGTCAGATGCGCATGTAGTATAGCAGCTTCATTAATGAAGCCAATAATGAAAGCTCTGAGTTTGTTCCTATATTTATGTTCAACTTTTTTCTTGTAGATTATATTGGATAACAAAACGAGAGGGAGAAAGGGTTGGCAGTGGGCTAATGAAAGCCAATGCCTGGCATCATCGTGCCGATGCAGTATCTTCTTTTGTTGCTCTCATAGGGGTTGGTAATGATCTTTATACTCAAATTTGACCTAAATATGTCTCTTTTATTTTAGCAAACGAGTTTTCACCATTGATTTGTCTAATTGTATCATTGAGAACTAAACAAAATGTGTGTACTGGTTTTACTTTAAGCATGAAATGCTAATATGTACTGTGGAGTATTACTATTAGTTTGGTCTAGAATAGTTTATGATGTTTTATATTCACAATATCGTTTTTTTAATAAAGTACATTTATGTATGTAATGTCTACAATAGTAACAACATACCCAGTATAGTCCCACAAGTGGGGGCTAGGGAGGTTAGGATGTACGCATACCTTACTCCTACCTTTGCGGGGTAGAGAGGTTGTTTCTGATACATCCTCGGCTCGAACGAGAAGGTAATCGAAGCAGAGTTGCAAGGTAATATGACAACAAAAATATCAAGATAGAAAGAAAGCAAATGAAGCAATAGATTGTAGAACACCTTGGAGCATAGGAAACTACGTGATTACTAGATACTACTACTAATAAGACTAGGGGAGAGGGGTGGGATGCGACTAGCCCCTGTCTCTCCCATCAAATGAGTGACAACACTTGGCTATCTACTAACATTCTACCCTAATCCGCGATCTCCACACCTTTCTATCTATGGTCATGTACTCAGTAATTTGGAGTTATGCCATATGCTATCTAATCACCTCCCCCATCCCAGTTCTTCTCCGGTCTACCTCTACTTCCCCTAACTCCTGCTATAGCTAATCTCTCACACTTCCTTACTGGCGCATCTGCGTACCTTTTCTTCATATGGCCGAACCATCTCATTTTCGCTTCTCTCATCTTGTTAGCTTCAGGAGCCACTCCCACCTTGCCCGTATAACTTCGTTCCTAATCACATCTCTCTTTCTAGTATGCTCACACATCCATCTAAGCATCTTCATCTCTGCAACACTCACATTTTAAATGTGGGCATTCTTGATGGGCCAACACTCCACCCCATACAACAAAGCTGGTCTAACCATCACTCTGTGGAACTTACCCTTAAGCATTGGCAACACATTCTTATCGAACAGTACTTCGTATGTGAGCCTCCATTTCATCCACCTTGCTCCAATAAGATGAGTGACATCATCATCAATCTCCCAGTCTCCTTTGAATTATAGACTCAAGATATTTGAAGCTTCTTCTTTTATTTTGGGTATGACTTGTGCATCGATATCTTTAGACTCAAGGGTCAGCCTCCAAACTTCCAACCTACTGTTAACTCCACCACGCGTCTCGTCATCAACACTATGTCATGTGCAAATAACATACACAACAGTACCTCCCCTTGAATATGTCATGTCAATTCATCCATCACTAAGACAATCAAGAATGGGCTGAGGGTTGAGCCCTGGTGCAACCCCATCATGATAGGAAAGTGTTTCGATTCACCTCTCACTGTTTTTAGGGTCTTGGCTCCATCGTACATGTCTTTAATTGCCTTAATGTAAGACATAGACACACCTCTAGCCTCCTAACACCTCCAGATGACCTCCCTAGACACTTCATCATGGGCCTTCGATGTTTGAGATATCTATCTTTAGTTGTTAGGGCATAAATATTATTTTCCTGTCGTACCTTTGAAATGCAATAATATAAAATCCTTCAGACTAAAAAGTATGTATAGTGATTACTATTATTTTGGTTAATCTAGAACAGATTATACTTTCATTGCTAGTATGATTGACAGATTGAACTTTAAGCTGGTGGTAAATTTTTCCCTTTTGTTTGGTGTCATTATGTTCATTTGTAGGAGGAATCTAGATCATGAACTTGGTCTACCGATTCATCTCATTAACCTTGTTGGCAATTTTTGCCCTTGTTAGTTCTTAATCTAAAAGTTTTGGTCTTGGGGAGGGGTGCAATGCTATTTTAAACTCTAACAATGGTACTTGTACCCAAATGCCAAGATATTGTATGTACAGTGTTGCTAGGCCTAGTTATCTTGATAAGATGTACTTGTGGGCCGTGGACAGGCGTCCAGTTGATTAGTCAAGGTACGGGCAAGCTTACCGTGCACCACCCATATTTAAAAATAATAAGAGATTATTATGTCCTCTGAATTTTACAAGGATCTAGTATGAATAAAAATTAGAGGATCATGATGGATGTCCTTTGTTTTATACTTTTAGTAATCCAGAGCTTCATATAATACCAACATATCTCTCTAGATTCTGCTTGCTTAAGGTGCTGACTGAGAAGATCACAAAAGGGGGTTAAGAGCAAACTAACAATTGTACATAACCTGTGTCATTCGTCCTCAATTTAAGAGATATATGTCGAGACCTCTGTAGTTTACATACTAATCTAGAGAGAGTTCTGAGATCGTTCCAGAGCTCTCTTATAAGCGAACCAAGTACCTGTGTCTTACCCTTTCAAGGAAGGGGGAAAATGACATTATATATATAACATATTTAAATAGAACATAAAACGATAAAGGATCTCTCAGGACATAAGGGATAAAAGAAGCTTTAGTGTTTAGTCTATGCCTGAAAAGGGAAGAGAAGACCTCCATAACCTAAAGCTCAAGTGTAGTCAATGATATTTTATGAGCAGTTGAGTGAGATATTTCTTAAAATCGAATCCAAGTCAGTTGTTCAAAGTCAATTTATCTAAAAGTTCGTAGAAGTCAAACAAGCTTTTGAATTGAAATAAATCGGTATTAGCTTATCAACTCAATGAACTTTGGATATTGTTGATTAGAAGATGCATCACTTCTTAAGTTGAATTCTTCATGAAATTAGGTGGTTCTATCCTTGGAGTGAGGATCCTGGATCCACTTGCTGGGCTGGCTGTTGCAGGCATGATCATGAAGGCTGGACTTGAAACTGGATATCAGAGGCATGTCTTCCAATTGCTTAGCTATTTTGAATTTGTCTTCCTGGTCATCATCTTCTTTTGATAAACTTGTATAGAACTTAGCCTATGTTTGGGGACGGAAATGGATGATAAACTGAATCCTTCATCTCCTCATTGTTGGTTGGGCACTTGAACAAAGAAGAATAAATCATTCATTCTTTACCCCTTTTGTTGGAGTAGTGTGAGTGTCTAAGGCTAAGGGTTGTTGTTGGGTGAGTGTGTGTAATGTGTCAAGTCTCTGGATCTGCTCTCAGTGAAAAGCATGTGTTTTCTTAAAAGAAAGTAGGATCAATCTCCCCTTGCACTTCAGTGGGCACTAAATTGTGGAAGTGGTTGTCCTTGAGTCGAGTATAAATTTGCACGTAATATTGATTTTAGATGTCCCAGACCCCACTTGTGAGGCTACACTGGGTATGTTATTGTTGTTATTGATATTCTAGATTTACTAGTTGTTTATCTTTTGGTCAGCTGGTCTTAATTTATTATGTACTAGACACTCTAGAAAGATTTTCAACTCACCATTTGCAAGTTTATGGATATCCTTAGTAAGTGGTCGATTGGTCGCCAATTGGTAAAATAGTGTTTCAAAGATTAATGTTATCCCATCTGCTTTATTTGGAGGCTACCAGTCTTTAACTTGACCATTGTCTCAATCCTTTTTTCATATTTTACTCATTTCTAAATTATAGTGTCTTGGAATTGGTTGATGCTGCTATTCCTTCGCATATCCTGGAGCCTTTCAAGCACACAATTCTACAAGTTGACGGAGTTGAGGCAAGTTATTCTTCCTGCCAGGAAGTCGATGTTATTTCTGTTCCTCGACTTTCATTCATGTAATACTTTATCAACTTAGTTTTGTGTCTTTTGATGTTGATACTGCTGTCAGCAATTCCTTTCTTGCATCTATTTGTCATCCTGTGCTACTTATTTACCCCTTAATAGTTTCTACCTCAATTATGGCATTCCGGTGCACAAAGCATCCCGCGTTCGTGAGGATGACATAGAAATATGTTAAACAATAGAGTTTTCAGGGTCAAATCAACCAATATGAGATTAATGAAGCCCTTATCTAAGTGCACCAAATTGTGTATTCCTAGTAGAAAAAAAATACTGTTCATTGTAGTTTCTTTTGTGAGCAAGCAACATTTTACCTGATTGATACTTATGTGAATTTATATTGTTATTAGAAAGAAGCAATATTTGAGTACAAGAACCTAATCATGTGTGCTTATGAGATATTTTAGAAATATTTGTTGAAGGTTTGGTTGGAGTACTCCACTTCAATCCTTCAGACACTGTTCCACATTATGCAATTGACTAAATTTGTCATCTCCTCTATCACAATATTTCATGTGATTTACTCTTCTTTCTTGTACTCTATTAACATTTGGGAAACTTAATATTTAACACAACATCTTATTGTTTTTGTGCATTATGCACATGTTCCTCCGGCATATTTCTTTGTTGGTCAATGTTTTCTGTATATCTGAGAATGATATCAATGAATAAACATATTGTTTGACCTCTGCAGGGTTGTAGTCACCTGAGAGGAAGGAGGGCTGGTTCATATCTCTATCTTGATGTCATAGTTGAGGTAGTATGCATGTCATGTTAAGTAGTTCATCATAGGGATATTTCCCTATCAAGTTATTTATTCGTGAGGATGTCAGGCAGATTTAAATGCACCTCCTATATGCAGGTTGACCCCTTTTCTAGTGTAAGTGCTGCGCATGAGATCGGGGAAAACGTCAGCCGCGAAATCCAGCGATTACATCCCGAAATAGCTGAAGTCTTCATTCACATAGGTACTGTTGAGTCTACTCACATCTACACATGTTAATGTAGGCTTAGAATTGCTTATAGTAGTGTTACGAAATGCTAAACAAATGACAGCCTTAAAATAGAAAACAGAAAACGTTATGAAAACCCAGAATGCTGAACATGGTTGGTTATTCCACTTCTTCTGGATGTTCAGTGGGGTAGTTGAGGAACCTGAAGATCAAGTTGTCAGCGTAGTTTACCATTATCTCGTGATCCACGGGCATATGCAATCTTGTCATTACGAAAAGATATTGACAGCAATTTGCAGGGTCAACTTTTTCTTTATTGTTGATGCTTCCTTGCTAGCTAACATTGTTCATTCCAACTTGTAGAACCATCAACTATACACATTCCACCCGCTGTTGTGTCTCAACAGAGAACTGCTAACACAATGGATGCAGACATTGAAAATATAGTTCGCAACATTTTATCTACAAACTTTTCTCAGGTTTCTATCTCTTTGTAGATTTTCTTTTTGTTCCTTTTCCCAAATAGAAGGTTTAGCATTTTCAATTTTGATAATATAGTGTGCACGTAGTTTCTCTTGGATCCCTTGATGCACTTCAGTTGTCGTAAGTCGCCTTCTTTTGTTACATATACCTTTTGTTACATACACAGTTTAGTGAGTTTCCATTCCGTCCTGCTTGTTGACATGAGGTACTTTTTATTGGTTTTCAGAAGATGATTGTTGAGCGTGTGACTCCACATCTACTGCAAGGACAGGTTTTACTTCAAGTGGAAGTTTCTATGCCTCCCGATCTCTTGATTAGGTATAACCACTCAAAACCTAAGTTGCTCGGACTCTCCAAAAATGTTGCCGCACCCGTGTCAGATCCTTCAAATATACACAGTTTTTGGAGGATCCGACACACACCCGTCAACATTAATTTTTGAAGAGTCCGAGCAACATAGCTCAAAACACTTCACTTAATAGCAGTACACTTAACATGAAGTATCAGATGTCTGTGTCATTGATTTTACTTGGGCTACTTCTTAATTTTCTAGGGATGCGATAAAAGTTGCAGAAGAAGCAGAAAAATTAATCATAGAGGCAGCACCAAATATTGTTCATGTGTGTATCCAGCTGTGCCTAGGGCGATCCATGCCAGACTCGTACCACAAATTGGTGGAGAGCACAAGTCGGGGACTTGTATACACTTAAAATGTGCATGTATACATCCACATTCTGTATAATCAATAAAGAAATTCCGACTCAAAAATAAATCAAAGCTACACAGAGTGTCCATTCTCTATTTTACTCTCCAAATATAAAAAATGAATAGTAAAATAGAGGTAGGTGGATTGCCGAAGATAATGATTTTATAAGTATTTGAAATAATATATTTATGTTATAAAATATTATGGTGTGGATGTCTACTATTACCAAAAAGCTACTCTCACCAATTATCTCCATTACTTTCCTCCATTATGTAGATAACCTCCACCTTTATGACCATCATTCTTGGAACTTTACACCCCCATAATCTCCTCATTTATATTCATGGTTAATGTCATGTTTATGTCAAACATTTTGTATGCCTCTATGTAACACTATAAATAGAGGCATAAGACTTCATATTGGATACACTTGAATACTTGGAAGAATAAAAAATGCTCGCAACTCTCGTTTCTTTATTTCTATTGCTTTTATCTTCTATATTTCTTGTCTTATTTTGCTTTAGTTTTATAATACGTTATCAACATGATTCTCCAGTTTTTCAAATTTAGTTTCAACTTGATTTTTTCCACTCGTGATAGGTATGTAATTATATTGAAATTTTTCATGATGACTTTGGTAAGTGTACTCTACATTTTTTTGGTATATAGTACTCCAAAAAGTTGAATTCAGTTTCATTTCTCCTCCTGAAAAGTAAAGGTAAGGTATGTAATTTTTCCAAATTAGTTGCTTACTCGAAAAAGATAAGTTATTGAGTTATGTGGCATATACATATTGATTGGATCATCATTATTGGTTACTTTTGTACCTCTTTATTTTTCATTATCTTAACATTTATTTGTTGAGTTATTAATATATTATTTGTACTGACAAAGTTTGTATTGTGGTTATTTTAAAATGGTTAGTAAATTAAGTTAATCTTCGTAACAATATTGGGAAGGATTTTTTATTTTTTTTAAAAATTAGTAATGTTGTATTCCTTAGCATTAAGGATATGTTGGTGACCTCCAAAAATTCGTGCATAGAGGGGCTAGGAAGGCTAATTACAAAGATCCTAACATATCTCCTAGTTGCTCTACCACCTCTATACATTTTTATTTACACTACAAATACAAATATGCAATGTAATTTTCTTTGACTTTCTGTATGGAGTTTGATTTGTTCTCATAGCATCTTCCATTTCTTTCCTTTCATACTGACCACCATATGCAAGCTGGAATAATTCTCCATCACTTTTTTTTTGCTTTTACTGCCTCCTCTCCTGATTCAACAACTCAACAGGTCAGCAGTATGTTCTGGCATCGTCCAGCTATTACCAGTGAGCCTAAAAAACAGAGACCACAGTTGACCTGTGACTCTACAGTGTAGAAAAAGATGGTTGTTGGTCTCATTTGTCTCATTGTAGAAAAAAGTTTTAATTTATTTTAACTTGGGACTTTTATATGGTTCCAACATGTTGTTCTAATTAATTAATTTTTTTCATTTTTCTTATCTTTTAAGTTTCAGATTATATTTATGATTTTCGATATCTGTTTTTTGAGTAACACAATTGATTTATTAAGACATTGATTGAGGGTAAGACGGCGAATTCAAATATCATGCATCAAGTGAGTAAGACATCGAGTTAAAGTCTTGGAGCGTCATGATAATAATATGTTGGGTTCAAGTCCCATTGATTTATGAGCTAAGGCTTCTTTATATAGATAAGACGTTGGGTTTAAGTTCTAATGCGCCATAGTGATGATATGATGATGTTAAGGCAAAAAAAATAATATTTTTGACTAAAAGTCATGAAATCTACCCAATTGATTTGCTCTATTCTCTTATGTGAATATGGTAGCAAGCATAATATGTCTGAAAAATGACAAGTGGTTGAATGTATGAATATTAATGTGGTAAAATGTTAATGATCATCATCGTGGTAATTAAAAGAAAGAACATTATGAGTTCTTAAGATGGTCCTTCAAATGTGAAGGTAATTTTTGGTTATTAAAGTGGTATCAGATGTTATTGGGCAAATTGTTATTGGTGCAATCCAATTTGAAATTTTTTATAAATCCTCCATCAAAATAAAAGAGTATAAAGTGGTAGTACATTTGACATTTTAAAGTGATGTTGAGGTGGTCACATAAATTTGATAATGCCAAAGCATGACAATAAATTTCTAATAAAAACTTATGGAGCATTTGTACTATTTCTTAAAGAAAATATGACTTGTGTTCGTATGGATAATGACATGTTCATGTATGGTTGGATAAATGTCACATCTCACCTCTACGGGAGGTTTGAGAGGTTGAAAAGAAATATTTTGACATAAATGATAATTTGGTCATATACTTTAATGGCTATACGAATATTGTGATATATTTTACTATGACCTATCGAAGGACAAAAGAAAGAAATAATTCTTTTCTATATAGTTTGTGGTCATGACCAAAATAAATATTGTTGTGTGACAATACTAATTTGTCATTGGTTGTCAAAAAAATAAGTCTTGCATGTAATGATTTAACCATGACAAGAATAATAGCTTTCTCCTTGAAGAAGATGGTCACCATAAGAATGGTGTTGTGAAATATGTGGTAGTACAAAAATGAATTGAGAATTTCAAAAGGGCTAATTTGTTACTATCCAGATGAATTAAATTGTTCATAATATTGGGGTTGTAACAAGTCTCAAAAGAAACTTTTAAAGTTAGGTGAGAAATTGAAAAGAATTATTTTTTATATTGAGACTATAAATTATGAAAAGATTTTAATATTTTCAATTACTACAATCGAAGTGGTTATAAATATTTATGTATAAGATTATCCATTTTTCCTCTTGTTTGTTGTATACAAATATGAGCATGAGTGACAGAATCATATGCAAAAATAAACTAGAAGTTTACTAGATATTCATTGGCATTCTGATTCAAATATGATGCGATAGAAATTGAGAATTCATGTGGCTTATGTTGAAGAAATGAAAGATTCTTTAAGAATTCTCTTTGTGTTACTTGTTTTCATGATAAAATGATCATTATATCAGCTAAGGTTTGAACTGTATCCCCTGAAATTAATTGGAACTTATAAAAAGGTGAATATGGACTTATTCACCTACCATGTAGATCGTTTACTATTATGATTTAATAGATGAATCTACGGTATAGTCATATGTGCGCTTATTATCAACTTACAAATTATTTTTTGTAAGATTGTTTGAATTGTTAAATTAAGAACACAATTTCAAATCATAAAATTATATTGATAATGTTGGTTGGTTTAACAAAAATTCTATGTCTCCAATTATAATTAGTTCATTGATTATGAAAAAAAACTCTCAAATAAAATTTATTATGAGATAAATTTATTTAAATGTAATCATAGCTAACAAGGTTTTCCCATCACAATTGGTTCAGTGTCAAGGAATCAAATAATTTCAATCTAAAAACTTAATGTGTTCACATATAATTTTATTGCTCTACAACACACAAAAACAGATCCCCAAATAAGGTTGAAGGTAAATGTTAGATGTCCTAACTTTTAGAGGAGGTATGGCTAGCAACTAAAAATTACATGTGGGTGAATTATCTAATTTAGATTCTCGTTAAAAAATGTGACATGAATTTTGTACCTCAAGGCATAAAAGTCGTGACATTATTAAGTAAAAATATATTCTCAAGATGCAATGAGACCTACTTCATTCAGACAATAAATAAAATACTTAAATATATAAAATGAATGATTATTATATTTAACTGAAAAGCTTAAGTTATATAAAAAACTTTAATAAATTTAAGGAAAGTCTTTTGGTCAGAAAATTTGATTAGAATAATATTTTACTTATGATGTCTTACCTTTTTAAATATTTTTATTTTTTTAAATTTTAATACTTTTTAATTAAAAAATGAAAAAATAATCAATTTATTTTAAAATAAAATAGATATTATACACTTTTAATTTTTTTTAATTATTTAGTATTACCCTAGATTTAAAAGGTCTTGAAGCAATTTCATTGTTTACTGAACTTCAATTTCATGAAAATGAATAAAAGTACTAGTACAATTGATGCACTTACATATTATTGACTATATAAATGTAAGAAGATTATTTAATCTACATAAATAAGTAATGTGAAGAAATTGTCATATTATCATTTCATTGATTTCAGCTTAAAATTTGAATCATAAAATTTTATTAACATTTGATTTTATATAGCCTGATGTCCATTTTCTTATATCAAAATTAGATAACAATTGTTATAGTTTTTCAAACTATTAACATTGATTAGCAAAAACTTATTAGTCCCGTTATGACTTTGAACAAAAACTTTTGGTTTTTCACATTCCTATAATTTAACTTGCATCTGCAAGTTGAACCATATTTGATATCTACTTTCATTCCAAAATTGTTGCATATCATGGTGGTATATCAAAGAGCAAAAATGCAGTAATAATTAATATTATCATTTTCTTGAAATCATAATAAAAGAAGCAAACAAAGTTACAAAATAAGGTGAACCATTGATCAGATAATTGTAGTCTGAATGATTTTTTGGGTCGACATATAAACTTTCCTGAATCGGATATCATCCCTTCAATGATTCATAGCATAAACAAGAAATTTTAACAAAAATATTCAACATTTTTTACTTAAATTAAGTCCTTTATCAGAAAAAATAATAAAATTTCATCAAATCTTAGATCTAAAACATGTAAAATGAATTATAAAAAAAAAAGAAAATGAACTGAACCATTGATCAGATAATTGTAGTCTGAATGATTTTTTAGGTCGACATATAAACTTTCCTGAATCGGATTTCGTCACTTCAATGGTTCAGAACAATCCAACAAACTTTGAAAAAACTAGAAATCGATAAAAGAAAACAAAAATTTCGAAAAATATGAGTAGGCTCAGAAGGATCCATTGGTTAAATGTATAATCACAGACGGAGAAATTCTCCTTTCAGCAAATAGGTAGATTTTGAGCATCATAGCCTACTAATTCATAAATTTCATTTCAACAACAGAGAAAAATCAAAGGAATCTAAAGAAGAAATCAATCAAAAATCACAAACAACTCAGCATAAACACAATTGTAGGAGAGAATGAAGATGATGAATTTATTGAGTTATTGAAAGGTATATATAGGTGTTTGCCTCAACAATTAGGGTTAGGGTTTAAGGCCCTGTTCCTAATTCGCTAAAGCCCTCTGGGCTTAGGGTAGAAACGGCTCGTTTTTAGTTAGATAATGGGCTTAGATGATTAGGTCTATCTGGAGTTTGGGCCACTTTTCTCTTTAAATAAGAAGCCCAAATGACAATCAATTTTGAGTTTTGGGCTAAAATTAGGAGGAATTTTCGCAAATAGTCATTACAATAAACTTAATTATGATCTATAGCTATAGTTTGCATATTTACAGGTTGGAGCTACGATTTAAGTTGTTTCATTTGTATAATTCACGAGTTTGTATAATTCGCGGGTGAGTTTGTATAATTTGTGGGTATGTTTGTATAATTTGCGGGTATGTTTGTATAATTGAGTTATTTTTGTATAAACTCGAAATAACAAATTTATATAACACAAACATCTGAACTTTCAACAGTTATACAAATTACATTATACAAAATTAAACAAATTATATTATACATATTCTGAATTATACTAACTCGAAACCCCAGCCCACGTAATCATCACTAAATGTTCGTTACGAATGGTAATTAATTAAAACTATAGTTAGGATAACTAACTAACTGATATATACTTACTTAACCACGTAATTTTCTCCTTTCTAATCCCCTTTAACTTTGCTAAAGTGAAACACTTTAGACTATCAGAAGTCATATTCCTGATATTTGACATTTGCATTTCAAGGTTTATTTGCTAAGATTCTCACTTTGAATTGCTATCATGAGAAATCACTATATTTAAGGCAAGAGGAGGAGTAAGGTTGGATATAAAATATCGAAAATTAAATTATCGAATCAAATTGAATTTCTTAATAATTTGATATTTGGTAATTCGATATTTAATATGATATTGGGGAGTAATATTTTAGAATTATGGTATTTCGGTTTGGGTTTGGATGAGACATTAGAATCATTTGGTATTCGATATTTTTCGAATACCAAATTATTTACTTAATGAAGGTCATATATCAATATGTTCATAACTAATTAGTATAAGTTCAAAGAAAAAGTTAAATGCTAAACATAAACAACCTAAATATATATGTCTTTTAGTTGTGTCAATTTATTTTTCTTTATTCTTCTTAGTTTCTGATCTTCTATTATATCGTGAATCTACATAGAAAAATAAAAATAATTGGAGCAATAATATTAACTTTGTAATACTATCGGCTACAAATTCAATATGATATTACCAAATACCATATCGAATCGAAGTTTGATTCACCGATTATCGAATTATCAAATCAAAATTTAAAAATTTAATATTTGATATCAACTTTTGACTATTAATTACTGAATTATTGAATTCAAAATTTAGAAATCTCAAATCAAATATCAGACACCCACCCCTAAGCATGAGGGTTCTTTGAGGTCAATTGTTTTGGTCCATGGTTGTTTTTTAAGGTTGTATTGTCGCACCTTAATACCATTTTGTTACTGTTTTTAAGGAAATATATTTACTATTTTTGAGTGGGGCATATTGTTGTGTTTTAAAGTAATATATGATATAAATTGCTACTAAGGCAAGGAGAAATAAATTCATTTGCATCAATCAAAGAAAGAGATAGGACTGTCAGTTGAAATTCGCAACGTTGGAAAATAAAAAAATTGAATTAAATTGAACTAATTTAATTTTTCGATTTTTTAGTTCTGTTTTGATAAAAAAAAAAATTAAAAGTTTGAGTTTTTAATTTGGTGTTTAGTGTAAGAGGGTCTTAGAATTTTGGTGCATCTCAAAATCAAATTTTTATTTTAAAAAAGTCAACAAGCAATTTAACTATTTATGAACAAATCAAAGTAGCAACAAATTTACAATTCAGACAATTAATTCCAATATTAATTCGCCAGAAAGGAGTCCAAATGTATTTTTGTCAATATTCATCATGTAAAGAAACCTATCTTCATCCTTGTTTTTCTTGAACAGTAGTTGGAGACACAATGTTCTTGACAAAGATAAAAATAGTCTTTTCAACACAATAAGTATTGTTTCACGGTGAGACATACATCATCACTTAACATGATTTTAAGTGTCTTATACTTAGATTTTGTCCTCAATTTATTTTTCATATGCATCGAAAAAACCGTTTTAAAAATATCAAACCAAATCGAATCGAAGTTGAACAAACCAAACCAAACCAAACCAAATTGAATTATTTCTATTTGATATTTGATGCACACTTTTTCAAAACCAAAAATAAAAAAAGTTGAACGGCGACCACTACTAATCAATGATTTATTTCTAATAAAATAGACTTATTTTAAAAGAGAATCAAGCAACTTTTAGAGTTCATCACGAAACAATTTTTTGTTAAGAAAAGAAATTAAATTACAATTTTAACTATATTATCCAGCACACACAGTATAGACTATACGTGGTAGGGGTCTATGCCAAACCCTCCGCCACTTAGGGAGCTCGTATGGTGGGAGTTGGAAAAAAAATACAGTATTATAAACTATAAGGCATTTCAGTACCATTTCCAAGTATTAATACGAATGTATTAAAATTATAACATTAATTAGTTACTTACATCAATCAAAATATTGTTTAGTTGCCAATAAATGACAGATTTGGCTCCTCTCCGTTACCCTCCTTTCCTCTATTTCGTCAAGTGCACGTCTAGATAAGAGACATGTGTTTTAAAATTTTTAAAGTCAAGATTATATCATATTAACAATATCATAACCATAGTTAAAACAACCAATTTTAGAAAACTAATCTTCCAATTTGGTAAGAACAAGAAATACCCTACAAATTCTGATATTCATTAATATCATTAATTTCACGTGCAAATGAAGAAAGAAATGGTAATTAGGGAAGGAATTTGTGCTAACCTCCATTAGAGTCTCTAATTAGTATTGGAGTAAATTATTATTGTTCAACACTGAACCAAGAACCATGCCAATCTAGCCAAATGAGAACATAAATAGTTGAATCACAAAGTTAATTAATTTTTCAAAACCATATCCCACAAATTAATTACCTTACAAATTATTTAGAAGATACAATATGATCACTAGTACGAAAGCACGATTTATTTTTTTCTTCATAAAATGAAAACAAGAGTAGAAAGAATTTGAAAATCAAAGCTTACGTATATATAGAGGTGGACATAGTTTGGGTCAACCTAAAAACCAAATCGAAATTGGAACTTTTTGGATTTTTGGATTATGAATTGAACTGTCTGAACGGTCACCCCTACTTGATTAAAAAAAAGTTGTCATTTATGCTCCGGACTTTCTTAAGGACCATACAATCTTCTAAGGAGAAACTCATTTTTCTCCCTTTCTTCATTCTTGTTGCCAATATCAACCTTATTTTGGTTAGCTTTTTCACCTTCTAACTCTCTATATCTATGCAAATACCTTTTCAATGGCTCAACATAATCATCAAACCCTAAATTTCCCAAAGCCCAACAAACATCATCTCCGTTCAACGTCTTCCTCTTCTCCTTGTGACATTTCTCTGATGCTTCTCCAGTAACAAAGCTTATGAACTCAGACACACATTCTTGCATTGTTTCTTTCCCCTCTTTTGAAATCTTCGCGTTTTGAGGAAGAATATGCTTCATTATTCGTCCCACGTTAGCTATTGGCAACAACCTATCGTGCTCCTTAAACCCTCCTTCTTCACTTGAGTCAAATGATCCTAATATATTGTTGCTATCAACCATTTTGGGAAACCTAAAAACTCGATCCTGATAATCTCTCAACCATTATTTGCAGCCTCTTTATTATAAGCAGATGTTCGTCTGTATTACGCTAACTTATAATTAATCAAGTGTTAATATTCTATCGTGATATCGTCAGAGATTCTACAATATATATAAAAGTATTCAGTATTAGTGTGGAGACATAATGTCAAACAAAATTTGTATATAGATGGTACAAAGTTAGGTCATATTTTATTAAAAGCACTTTGCTTTAATGAATTATGGATCAAATGGTCCCCTTCCATCTCCCTTGCTACTTGTTAATGTTTAATCCTTTTCACAAGCTTTAGTTACCACATGTCTTAAACAATGTTCCATTTGCTCTTTATAATTATGGACTATTACTAGTCCAACCAAGTGTAATCAATTGTTGAGGGCATAAAAAGATCATCCAACTAGTGTGATATTATATTAAAAAATATGTCTTAAACAATGCTTGAAAGTTGAAATATTGAAATTTGTGGACTAACTAACTATATATTTCTATATATAATGTACCTATTTTTTTGTTTACCATAAAGCTTACTACAAGACAACACCTAAAAAGAGCCGTTTGAACATAAATATGAGTCCTAGTTGTTGGAGATAATGTTAATCCAGTCTTTAATTCTATGTTTTAATATAGTAAAATTATCATTTTATTTACTATCCCTAAAGCAATATTGGATAAGTAAAAATGAACGGAAAGAGTAGTACATATTATAGGTAACTTCAAAGTTGCTTAATTGTCGAAATCACCCATATTATACATTTGTGTTTTCCTTGTCCCTTTTACAAGTAATAAGGCATCTCATATATATCTGCATATATATATTAGCCAATTTTCTATTTCCTTGATGAATCTAGCTCCAAAAACGCGCAATGACCGATCACCGAGTCCGGCATCAATACGGATATTTTTTAAACCCGAAACACTAAAATGGACCCTCTCTACACCGAAACTTATAGTTCGCCCATAATTAACAACACTTAACCCCACCATCCCTGTTAACTCCCAATTCAACCAAAATAATATTACACCAACTTTAAATTCAGTTCAACCACAAATGGGCGAACTACAATTCCTTTTATTTCTTTCTCGTGTGAATTTATATCTCTTTCTTCCTCATGTGAACTATATCTCTTTCTTCGTCACGTGAACTATATCTCTTTCTTCCTCACGTGAACTATATCTCTTTCTTTCTCACATAAATTTATATTTCTTTATTCTTCACGTAAATTTATATTTCTTTCTTCCTCACGTGAACTATATCTCTTTCTTCAATAATAATTATGAGTTATTCACACCCTAAACCTCATGATTTCAAAAGTGAATAGTGATAATGCTAAATATGCTTTGGTGGGATGACTGGTCAAGCCTCGTCCCTCTAGTCCTATTACATTAGATTTTTGTGTATGATTAATATTCAAATCAAATCAAATCAAATCGAAACAGATAACAATAAAATCGATAAATCAATACAAGTATAATCCAATCAGGGTTGATGCTTTTTCTTGGAAAAAGTAGTCAATCAAGAACCATGACCAATTAACCAAAAGGTGAAACCAATGTACAATTCACAATGAGGGTAGTCCACGAGACACCTTAATTTAATTTGATTCCTTTACCTGTAATTAACATAAATCTGGACCAATAATGTGTGTCCTATTTTCATTAATTTATACAACATTTTTGCCTGCCACATACATCAACTTTGTCGTACACTTCCACTAAATTTATTTATTTATATTTTTGTTAGCTACCTAAAATAAAGCAAGATTCATATCCTCGTATGTAGTGTCCCTGAGTTTGTGGAATATTGGACAACGACAATTCTCCACTAAAAAATAGTTTGATGTTTAATTTAGGGAAAAACGTTTGAAATATATTCGAATTTTAATCGAAATTGTTGTAACAATCACAAACTTTGGGCAGAATCTATTACTCATGCACTATTTAATTGTGTATTTTAAAGATATATAAGTGTCCAATTGGACAAGTTACTTATTTATAATGATGCAATATTTGTGATATCCACATGGATACCTATATATCTTTAAAATATACTATTAAATAGTATAGGAATAACCAAAATTTGAGATTGTTACAATAATTCAATCAAAGTTCAGATATATTTAGAACCTTTTTCCCTTTAATTTATGAAATAGTACTTTTATTTATATAACAAAAAATATGACCTAGAGCTAGTTTTGTACCACCTATACAAATTTGCCAAATTTGCCTAATTGTCATTGTGTTTTCACAATTATTCTGAATACCTTTATATATATATATCGTAGAATTTTTGGTGATATCACACTATATTATGAACTCGTAACTACCATAAGTTAGTGTAATACATACACATTTATGCTTATTAAGGAGCAAGATAGGGATTAGTAGGTCCTTATCCAACAATTTAGGGTTTCAACTTTCAACTCATGGGTTATTATTTTCCAATTCAACTTTCAACTAATTGTGGATAGGATTAAACATTAACAAGTAGGAAGGGAGAGGGAGAGGGGACCATTTGATCCGTAATCCATCAAAGCAATGTGCTTTAAATAAAGGCTAATATATACTTTTATAAAACAAAATTTTTTTTACCTAACTTTGTACTATCAATAAAATTTTGCCTAATGACATTATGTCTCCACACTAATTCAAAATACTTTTATATATATCATAGAATCTCTGACGATATATCAAAAAATAATATTAACACTTGTTTAATTATAAGTTAGCTTAATACAGACAAATCTGTGCTTATAATAAAGAAGCAAATAATGGTTGAGAGATCAGGTTCGAGTTTTAGGGTTTCCCAAAATGGTTGATAATAATAACATCAACATATTAGATAGAGAAGGCCCTAACTCAAGTAAAGAAATGGAGAAAGATGAACTCCCAAAATTAGTCCGACAATAATTTTCCAGCTTGGTACGTACTTGATTAATAAGCTTGGATTTTCATCGACTTCTTTTAATTTTGAAGAAAAAATTCTAGTTTAATTTGCTAATAATTAAGAATTATTCTAGTATGTGAGAATGTTCACTGTGTTGGTGGTTATTGTATCTTTGATTAGAAGTATTATTTTTTAAATGCAACTACCTCTTAAAGAAAAGGCAAATTAAATAACACTAATTTCACTAGTTTAAAGCTTAATTACATGTTTTTACTTTAGTTTTCGAAATTATCTTTCTTACCACATTTACTTCGCCAAATATTAGATACATTAGATACATGCGAACCATATTATGTGTAATTTGTTCAAGATACACTGTATCTAAACGTGATTCACATGTATCTGAGATCATTGACTCTCTCTCTCGCCTCTCTCTTATTTCTCTCCCCTCTCTCACTCTCTCGCGTGTCTCTCTCCTTATGTATCTATATTTCAGAATGTATATATCTAATATAAAAGATATATGTATCTAACTTAAAATATGGTATATAATTATTAATTAGTAAGACAATATGTATGTAATTATTTCAAACTATAAAATAAATTAGTAATATATGTTTAGAATCGTGATTAGCTTCTCTATTAAGAGTGTCGAATCTTGCATTTGCCCTGTTCAATTAGTAATTTATTGGTCTCTTGTAAGTTGTATCGTGTCATACATCTGCCACTTTCCCACTAACATATTCAAAACCAAAAGAGAGACATCACTTTCCAGTTAATGATAGTCTTACCTTGGAATAGAACTTAAATAAGGGATGTATTTAAGTTCAGTTAGTCAAATAGAGAGGTATTTTTAAGATTTTTAATAGTTCGGAAATGAAATTGATATTTCACACCAAATTCAGAGGGGTATTTCTAACACTTCTCTCTTCGTGGAAAGTTTCTCTTTCAAGATCCACCACATGAGGAATAACCCCCATATCATCATATCATGTATGCTATGAGCAAAAGATTTTCATGTAGTGCTGTATTTGTTTTGTATTTTACTATTTTGCTGTCTATTTTCTTATAATCCTATAATGGATACCTTTCTTTTTAGTTATGGTTTATTCAAAACAACTTCTCTACCTTATAAATGTAGGAATAAGATATACATATATCAGATCCTTCCCAGACCCACTTATGAAGTATGTTCTTGTCTTGTTATAACTGTCTCCGCTAGTGAATTTCTGATCAAATGGTTACTCTAAGTTGATGAAACTATGAAATAAAATAACTTTGCTTTATTTTAATTTATATTAATAAAGTCACTCAATTTAACTATTTTTGGATTGCGAAGTAAGATTTGCCGAATTGTTTTCATTGACATTTTAAATTTTAATTTATATTCCATAGTTTACATTAAAATTGTCAATTGTGGTAGATATTTTTTGTTGAGAAATATACAAATAAATATCATATAGTCTATAGAATCGTGTATACCCCATTATCACCAAGCTTGTTGTCCGTTTTATCAAATCATTCAAAGACTATATTAATACAAAACAAAGCAAAATAACTTTGTTTCGTAATTTCTTTAACTTGAGTGATCATTTAATAAAAAAATATTCAATAATTCATGTAACTCGATCTGCGTTTAATTAAAATGTATTAGAACTTTCTTTTTAGGGAATACATACACCATTTTTGAGTATTAAATGATCCATTAAGTATCTAATTAGAAAAAAATAGCAGTTTTATCATCTCAAAAGGGGAAAAAAAATAGAAATAATTCATGAGGGGGCAATGTAAATTACAACATATAAGGATACATATAGGTTTGCAAGTCTGCACAATTATGGGAAAATTACGCCTATAAGCAAATATATACTAGTTAATTAGTTAACATAACTATAGTTTGTCTTAATTACAATTCGCGACCTACTTTTAGTTATAGTTACGTGACTCAACTTTTTAGTTTTGTATAATTCGCACGTTTGTATAATTCATAATTTGTATAATATAATTTGTATAACTTTTGTATTATTCGGAAGTTGTATAATATAATTTGTATAATTGTTTACATTTCTGATGTTTGTAATTGTATAAATTCGTTATTTCGAGTTTATACAAAA